TCATTCTTTTCATACTTATAACTGCATCAGTTAAGTTTGATCTTATGAGTCGTGATTAGAATCTCAATCTCTAGCACGCTTCTTGGTTGCTGATCAAGGTAGTATCGGAGTTTCAGCCGATCTTACCTGATTTAACTACTTTTTATCCTATATGCTTGATTGACATGTTAAATCTGCCCTTTATGTTAAGATCTTGCTGCATTTAAGTATATTAGACTTTTGTTTAGTATATTCTACTTGCTTTAATATCTTAATATAGAGTGGTATCGGAGTATTAGCCGATACATGCTAGATCTATCTGATCGGCTATGCTATGAACGTATATAGTCTCATTATTAATATATATTTCGATCTAAGTGATTTATACTGTCTCGGCATGGTGACCGATCTATCCCAATCACTTGATTTAAGTATATATCGATATAAAGATTATATATTGGTAATATCTGCAGCCGATCGAGTAGATTCAGTCCTTCCTTATTTATTAATGACTGTCGATCGATGCATATATGACATCGGCTCAAAGATAAATGATATGTCATCGGCACCTAGCCGATCGGCTATCATTTATAGATTTAACTGCGGTTTCTTTGCTTCTTTTCTTGTTGATTACAGATCAAATCAACTGGCACGCTCATATATTCGAAGGCGAGCTTTAGACCTGCACTGGAGTTAAGCAGATCTCCCAGGCCTCGTGTTTTCTGTCAACACAACTATAGTGGGCTAAATGGAGGTATAGCGGCTAAATTATACATGAGAACAAATAGCTAGAACTCTTCTCAAACAATTATAGTGGGAGATAGCGCAGCTATAGCAGGAGATTTAAAACCCTGGTTTTTACGGGTTGATTAGAGTAATACTTATTTCCTCCGTCCCAAAATATAACAATCTAAGATCAGATGGGACTCAACCTAAGATTAGATCGGACAATCTGTCCAAATTTATAGTACTAAGTTTTATCTCATCCTAAATTGCTATAATTTTAGGACGGATGAAGTAGGTCACGGTACTTTTGGTACAGCGACTTTGTATATAGATTCATAGTATAAGAAAATCTTTTTTTTTAAAAAAAATGTTGAAATACATTTTCAAATGTGGTTGCTTTAATGCAACATTTACACAAGCGTTTGGTCGCATGCGGTTGGCTAAACAATTGTGATAACTAGGTGAAACCCCGCGCATTGCTGCGGAAATTTAGTATGATAACAATAAAAAAAATAATGTGCAAGATAACTAAATAACATCAGATTAAGTAAATTAATGTGGTTTATGATAATTTAAATTTATATAGTATGTAGAATGGTGATTTAAACGTAAAAAGTAAGGTGGTATGACTTTATGGAGGAAGAAAAGTAGGGAGATAGTTTGGACCGTAGATTAATCATCTAAAGGCTAAAAACAATTGATGTGATATGACTTAATTAGAGGAAAAAAAAGAGAAAGATAATTTGGACCATAGATTAATCATTTAAGCACTAAGTGAATGAACTATATACTTAAACTATATAAGTATATAGGATATCATAAAACATAATAAAGATATACATTTAAATATTATGTGAATTTTATTGGATGATAATTTAACATGTTTGTTTTTGAAAAGCTCTTAAATTCTAAAAACTATAAAAATATAGCATGTTTGCATGATGTTTAAATGTGATGATTGTTTTTTTTTTTTGCGGAGATGAATGAAAGATGATTGTTAGTGGATGATGATGTGGCATCTTGTTAATTAGTGGATGATGATGTGGCATCTTGTTAGTGGATGATGATGTGGTATCTTTGCACGTTAAGTTTAAAGAGTTAGTAGGGGATAACTTTATAGTAAGATAGGATGCTGACTTAGCTGCTTATAAAAATGGTTTTCTTAGTTGTGACAGAGAACTACGAAAACATATCTAAATGCCAATCATAAAGGAGACATATCTAAATGGCAATCGTTGTCTTTGAAAAAAAATTGGTAATCAGTGTAGAGTGTCAAACGATAAGAAGATATATCTAAATGGCAACCACTTTATCTTTTTTATGAAAGCTGTATACAAATTTAGTTTTGCAAATATCACCAAAATATCATGCATGATACTCCTACATCCAGTTTTTCCCCTTTTGGCGAATTCAACTTTTTTTAGTCACATCACTATCCCAAGTTTCTAGCCTATAGTACTTTTCTAGTATTTCTTCCTGTTGCTAATAAATTAAAAACATCGTGTTGGTGGCAAGGTTCACCAAACTGTTTAGAGGTGGAGTTACCATTACCTCAAGGTTTAACGGTTACCACGAGATATACCATTGATATACCATTAAAAAACTGAGAATGTTACCGCACGGTTTATAAACCCTGGTTGGTGGTGAATGCTTCCAATAGAAATTTAAAGTAAGAGATTAATTTACAGTTATTCTTGTCTCTTCGAGCATGTGCTAATTTGGTGAATTTTTTTATATATTTGAGAAAATATTATATGTCACTGAACCAACTTTCACAATATTTATATGATGTTAAAAAATTGAAGGGCTCAAACTCATTTTGGCCCTAATTCCAAAATGTCCCATATTGCAATGCAACACAATTGAAACTATAGCCATGTTTAGATCCCATCTCAAAATGTTTCGCCCTGTCACATCGAACGTTTGAACACCTGCATGAAGTATTAAATATAGGCTAAAAAATAACTAATTGCAGATTGCAACTAATTTACAAGACGAATCTTTTAAGCCTAATTACTCTATGATTTGACAATGTGGTGCTACAGACTATAGTAACATTTGCTAATGACGGATTAATTAGGCTGAATAAATTCGTCTCGCGGTTTATTGACGGATTCTGTAATTAGTTTTTTCATTAGGGCCCGAACAACCTATGCAACATCTTATATAATAACTGATGTGACATGCCAAAATTTTACATCCTTACATCCAAACACCCCCTATGATTTTCTCTTTTTACTCAGAGTTATATTAAAAACAACTAGTACGATAACAATAAAAATATTGTCGGACTTTGGACTTGGCAAGGCTAGTGTCAGACACTCAGACTTGGATCTTCGATTTACAGCCATCGGATACCATGTGTCCATCTTGAGAACCGGGACAATCTTTTTTAATTCTGCTGCATCTGAAGATCATCAGTTCTGAAGCCGTGAGGCTGGACAAGGCACAGGATCGACTTCCAATTCAAACTACTTATATTTTACATCATAAATATTATTGTTTTATTAATAAATTTAGTTAAATTTATGATTATTTGATTTCGAATATGAAACTTTTTTTCTATGCTTGGGAGTCACTATATCCGTTGATCCTCCGTGATCTAACGATCTGCAACAAAAGGTAGCTAAGAGAAGGTACTAAAAATCGTGGGCCAAGTATTAACTTTTAAATTAGGTGGAGGGTCAGTTTCAAAACAAACTAGAGAGAAAAGCCCAGTAACTTTGCTTGACAATAGTCAATAGGAATCCGTCAAATTTGTGCTTTAATATCTTGGTGAGACTTTGTAAGTAGAAACCCGTTAACGTAACTAACCAAAGAAGAGAATCAAATAATAATATACTAGAATTAATTAAGTAATCAACTTTGCATTGATCCGTTCTGTAAAAAAAAAAATCAACTACCATCTACCTTCTGTAAAAAAAAAGAAGGTATATATAAGATGGAAGAAAAGATTGTTTTCAGATTTTGTACTGTTTTTTTGGTAAAGATTTAGTACCGTTATATGGCACTATAAATGAAAATTAGTGATGAAAAGCGATTGATCGCCATGGAGGGAATATATAAGGCCAGTGATGAGCGTCAACTAACAATGAAATGGGAAAAGTTAGAGTAGTTTGTTGGTTAAGAATAATTAGAATATTAATAATTTGCTGCGCTTATGTTATTTTCTGTACCGAAAATACCCTTTCAAATTAACGGTAGATAATTCAGTAAGAGAAAGGTACCTACTCTCACTTTCAAGCACTGTAAAAGCTCTCCACTTGGGTACGAATGTATACCACCTGCGTGACTCAGCCTAGATCTCGCGTGAGGACCTTTTTATTTTTTTAAAAAAATATTATTATTAAGATCTAAACCTTTTAGCTATCCTCATGACAGACGTGATAAACAACGCTGCTGCGAAGCCAACCAGACTGGTATGGTCAAACAACACTACTACGCTAACAAAACGGGTGTATAAAAAAAATAGTAATCGCAAGTATTGGTAGCTAACAAATTCACTAGCACGGACAGTGCTAGCTCCCGAGAACATCCAGGGAACCTCGGGCTTAATTACAGTTACAGCTACAGGGGCAAGGAAAGCAAGGAGAACTAACTAACCAGCAGGTGGAGCACGCCGGCGGCCACGATGGCCCGGTACCGCCCGAGGCGCGAGTCGGCGGCAAGCGCGCCGACGAGCGTCAGCACCAGCACCGTCCCGGCCCACGCGTTCGCGCCGGCGGCGGCCGCCGCCGTCGACATGCCCATCGGCCCGGCCAGGTACATCACCAGGTTGCTCTGCACGCCGTTGAACCCGACGCGCTCCAGGAACCCGACGGCTGCACGCACACGCAGCAGCAGCAGCAAAGCCATGGCGAGCGTGGTCTTGTCAGTTGTAAGAACGATTCGCGAGCGAGCACGGCGAGAGGTCGGCGAGATTTACCGATGAGGAAGCGCGCGGCGCGCCACCCGCCGCGGCGGCCGTCGGCGTCGGCGTCGGGCTTGGAGCCGGCGTCGCATGGCTCGTCGGAATGTGCAAGGAGACCGGACTCCATGGCTAGCACGGTGACACTGTGGCACTCCCTCTCTAATGCTTTGATGTGGACAAATGCTTGGATACCTATATATATCTATATATTTTTTTGACAAAAAGCGATGCTCACTTGTCCTAGCTGACGTGTGGAATTAGCAAGATATTTTCGTGCACCTATTGCTTTGCAGCGAGTCGTGTGTGCAATTGTGTCCTCGCCATTAATGGCTAGATGTCGGGATCAGAAAATCAAGATAATATAGAGTACAGAGTGATTATAGAAAGAGATAAGTTCATCGGGGTTACCAGCTTCGTACTAAAAAGTAAAAACTGGGCCACCACAAATCACAATCTACGATGTTGATGCATTTCCTTACTTGTACGGTTCTCTAAATTAAACTTTGATGAGGTTTTTAAAAAAATGAACTTTGATGGCCAATTTTCCATTGAATGGGACACGCTTGAAATGCACCATTATGGTTTTGTTTGATGAAAAATTCACCAGTATGGTTGCAGGCTTGCAGCTTAATTATAAGCTGAAAACAGAATGAACAAAGGGAAAATTTACTGTAGTGTTAAAACTTTTGTACTTCTACTCTTACCATTCCAAAAGACAAAGCGAAAAATAGAATACGAGAAAAAAAAAACCCAGATTAATTTAAAATTCAGAATTAACTGCCACGCCTGAAATAAGTCGGTCCCATGATTAAATTGGAAGTTCTTCTGAATATGATCCGACAATACCACTTTCTATAAAAACTGTATATTATTATTCCAGATATTGTTAAACATAAACTAAAGTTGCATTTCATGATTAGATTATAACTGCTTGTATTTTTTTCATTGCTATTCTTATAACATCAACTTTAGCATTTGAACTCATCAAGTATCTAAAGATTAACATATAGCAATTATTAGTAATCCTAAAAACTAATACAAGTATGTCACATCAACCCGCTAAACACTAAAGGTTAATATGCAAGCATAGTAACATATCTATAATTTATTACTCTCTCTGTTTCATATTTTAAGATTTTCTAGTATTTTCCACGCTCTCATGTCTAGATTCATTAACATCTATATGAATATGGGCAATGCTAAAAAGTCTTATAATATGAAATTACATTATGCAACTCAGCATATATATATAAACAAGCTAAATTATCATTCCTCACATCATTTCCAGACAATATTTCAACCTAAATTCATCCATCATTTCTATAACATTTGACATTTATTAGCGCGCGCGGGATGTGCCATTGAGACGAAAAGATCCATCTACAATTAAATATCAACTGATAAGACTTTGTTCTTAGTGTAGACATAACCCTTTGCAAAATACAAGAACACCAGCACATCTAAAGCACTAATTCCGGCCAAAAGCCAGTAGAAGTAGTCAAGGTGAGCACGGTTGAGATTGTCGGAGAACCAGCTCTCTCCCCTACTCCTCGTCGCCGACACGAGCATGCCACTCGCGTAGCTCCCCACGCCGACGACGCTCATGCACGCTGCCACGCCGACGCTGCGGAGCTCGTCGGGCACCTGGTCGTAGAAGAACTCCTCGAGGCCGACCATGGTGAACGTGGTGGCGACGCCGAGCAGGACGAACTGCGGCGCCAGCCACCACACGCTCATTGGCACCGCGACGCCCGGCTCGTCCAGGAGGCCGGCGTCCCTGGCGGCGCGGAGCCGCGCGGCCTCGACCAGCGCCGCGACGGCCATGGCGAGGCACGCCGTGACCATGCCCGTGCCGACGCGCCGCAGCGTCGTGATCCCGGAGGGGTGCTTGGTGACGCGCCTCGCGAGCGGCACCAGGGCGCGGTCGTAGGCCGGGATGGTGACCATGACGGCGAAGCTGACCAAGCTCTTCAGCGCCGCCGGCGGGACGAGTAGGACGCCGCCGCCGCCGCCCGTGCCGATGACGATGCGCCGGTCCATGGTGCTGCCCTGCTTTGTGAAAAGGGTGGCCACCTGAGATTACACCACCGCGTACATCACGGTGGTCATCCATATGGGAAGCAGCCTAGCGACAATCCCCTTGTCATCGCCATGGCCTCTCGGCGGCGTGGGCAAGCTGCGCCGGTAGAACATGTCAATGGCGATGGCATTTGCAGCCTCTCCAAAATCATTCGCGAGCGAGCTCACCTTGCCGTGTCGTCCATGGCGTCGCCACGACGCGTCTCGGCGAACGTTCGCGGTTGCTCCGGGCGGTAGGTTCCCGTGCCGAGCAAGAAGACGAACAACGACACGAGCATCATGGCCCAGCACGCGCCGAACCCGATGCCCCAGCTGACGTTGTCCTGCACGTAGCTGATCCCGGCGGTTGAGAGAACGTAGCCACACGACACGGCGAAGTTGATCCAGTTGAAGAAGGAGCTCCGCGACGCGAGCCCGCCTGGGTTGCTCTCCGAGAACTGGTCGGCGCCCATGGCTTGCACGCACGGCCTGTGGAAGCCCTGCCCGAGCGCAAGCAGGTACAGCGCGACGTAGCAGAACGCCACGCGGCCCGCCGGTGCTGCCGCCGGCGACGAGCACACGGCGGCTGTATCCTGGCACACCATTGTCGCTTGTGGTGGTGCTACCATGGATGAGACCGTCAGCATGCCAAGGCTCTGTCCAACCCCAAATAATTTGTTCACCATGGTGACTGAAATGAAATGTTAGAGCTCAAAATTCAGAAGAGGTTAGAGGAGATTCACCAACCAGGAGATAGAGAACGCCGGAGGCCACGACGGCGCGGGGCCGGCCGATCCACGAGTCGGCGGCGAGCGCGCCGAGTAGTGGCAGCATAAACGCGGTCCCTCCCCACGCGTTCACGCCGGCGGCCGCCGCCGCCGTGGACATGCCCAGCTGGCCGGTGAGGTACATGATCAGGTTGCCCTGCACGCCGTTGAACCCGACGCGCTCGGCGAACACAGCCGCTGCATTGATCATCACGAAGAAAACCGCAATATTTGCAGAAACCAGAAAGTGAGAAAGAGAACCAAAAGCCTCAGTGTTTGATCAGCTAGATAGTGTTACCGTCTTACCGAGGAGGAAGAACGCGGCCGGCCACCCGCCGCGGCCACCGGATTTGGAGCCGGTGGACGGCTCAGCCTCAGGCAGGAGGGCGCATTGTTCGCTGGATTCCATATCACTCGTTCTGAGTTCTTACTCGTTCACGCGAGAACTGCAAAGTGTTTGGTTTGGCCTCGTGCCCTCATGGCGAATATAAAAAGGAGGCTTTGAAATTTGGTTTGGTGACACCAATAGTTTGCTAGTTCATTCGTCATTGTTTGTAATTTTAAGAGTGAAGTACACGTACGGACACTCTCTTATGCAAGTGTGACATCTAAGTTCATGAACTTTTAAAATATATTTTTGGGTCTCTAAATTTATCTTGGGTGTTATACAGATCAAAACGTCGTGCAACCATACTGGCACATACATATCAGGGAGACCCACATATCAGTCATAGGAAAAACAGATTTTAAAAACATCTTTTCGTTTTGGATCCGTAGTACACCCGAGAAAAGTTTAGGAACCCAAAATACATTTCGAGAGTTTAGAGGTCTATATAACAAACCTGCATAATTTTAGAATATTGTTCAACAACAAGAAGAAAATACATACTCGACCGATCTGATGTAATTTCATATCAGCGGGCTACATCATATTCTTTTTCACATGACAACATCATACCTTAGATCTTAATCCGGCTCACCATGGTTAGCTCACCCTTTTACTCTGTTGATATTGATATGCGGGAAAATGATTTTAAGGGGTTTGCTGATAAAAGAGTCGGTGGGCGATTGGCATAGGCGAGCCATGAGCATCGAGGTGTCAGTGTTGGTGCCAGAGCCGTAGGCTGGTGTCAGTGGCGGGGAGCCACCTAAGATGGAAGAAATAGCGTGGCGGGGCATCTTGCCGCCGACGGCTTGAGTTAGAGCAATCTATCTATTATTTTATTAAACGAATAGAAAAAGGAGTCTAGAAATTCTCACATTAATCAGAGAAAAAGAAAAAGCAGAGTCCATATAGAAATACAATTTAAAAATAGCTTAAATTCAAAATTAAAAAATAAGTAATATTAGAAGAGGAGACCAGAGTCCATATAGAAATACAATTTAGAAGTAACTGAAATCCGGAATTAAAAAATAAGTAATATTAAAAGAGGAGACTAGAGTCTCTCCTCTAGAGTCCATATAGAAATACAATTAGGAAATAAATGAAATTCGGAATTAAAAATAAGAAATATTAGAAGTAGAGTATAGAGTACATATAGAAATACAATTAGGAAATAACTGAAATTCGGAATTAAAAATAAGGAATATTAGAAGTAGAGTATAGAGTCCATATAGAAATACAATTAGGAAATATCTGAAATTCGGAATTAAAAATAAGGAATATTAGAAGTAGAGTATAGAGTCCATATAGAAATACAATTAGGAAATATCTGAAATTCGGAATTAAAAATAAGGAATATTAGAAGTAGAGTATAGAGTCCATATAGAAATACAATTAGGAAATAATAGAAATTCGGAATTAAAAATAAGGAATATTAGAAGTAGTGTATAGAGTCCATATAGAAATACAATTAGGAAATAATAGAAATTCAGAATTAAAAATAAGGAATATTAGAAGTAGAGTATAGAGTTCATATAGGAATTTAAAACTAACTAAAATTTGGAATAAACATAATAAAATTAAAAGTAGAGTTTAGAGTCCGTATAAAAATACAATTTATAAATAACTAAAATTCAAAATTAAGAAAAACATGGGAAGAAGAGGAGTTTAAGGTCAATATAGGAATACAATTTAGAAGTAATTATAATTCGAAATTAAAATTGAAGAATATTGAAAGATGAGTTTATAATTAGAAATAATAAAAATTCAGAAATAAAAATAAATAATATTGAAAGAAGAGCATAGAGTCTATATAGAAATACAATTTACAGAAAATTTGGAATTAAAAAAGAAATATTAAAAGACAAGTCTAAAGTCTATATAGGAATATATATAATTTACAAATAACTAAAATTTGATATTAAAAATAATTAATAACTAACACGTATAAAAAATATAATATGATAATTCAGAAATAAAAATAAATAATATTAGAAGAAGAGCATAGAGTCTATATAGAAATACAATTTACGGAAAATTTGAAATTAAAAAAAGAAATATTAAAAGACGAGTCTAGAGTCCATATAGGAATATATATATATATATATATATATATATATATATATATAATTTACAAATAACTAAAATTTGATATTAAAAATAATTAATAACTAACACATATATAAAATATATGAATATTACACATTAGTAGTTTTGTAAAGTTATTGCAAAATTTAAAATTATGTTATCATTTTAATATATTTGAATAATATAATGAGAAAACATATATGCTATTATATGTGAGAAAATATAATGATGCTAGCCGCGCAATCTGCGCGGGCCACCATGCTAGTTTTAATAGTATAGCCCACTACTGGCTCCGATTCATCTATAGTTCATCTAATAGCCAATTCATACAATAGTTACTTACTATACTATTAATATATGGTCCCATTTGTCATACACATATTGCGTTTTAGAGTCCGTACTGCAGCTGGCTACATATTTGTAGCCCGCTGCTCTTCTCTCTCATCTTTTATCTCATTAAAATATGTTTGCAGCTGGCTAATAGTCTGCTATTGTACCTGCTCCAAGAGAATAGAGGGGAAGGAGGCTGGCTCGAGAACGGCGCTGTTCACACTTTCCAGCCAATCAATAAGGTTGGGGGGAGGAAGAGAAAATGATAAGGTTATTGTGCGAACGGACCTTAAAGCACATCCAACATTTCATAATTTGTATTATGTGGAATGGGATTTTCTGTTAAAAATTGTATAGACAGTCAGGTGTAAACAGATAATTCGCATACTAACTTACATGTTAAAATAAATAGGTCCGCAACCTATTTTGACTTATAAGTAAATTCACAGGTTAACCACCTACACACTTAGGCAGCCCATAGTCTAAAAACTAAAAACAAGGCTTGTTCGAAGCTAAGATTTGGTTGATATTTGGTATAGTCACTTCGATAGTTTATTAAGACTATTTCTATCGTCATTGTTTGTATTTTTAAATGCATATTGTAATACTTCCTCCGGTTCTATAATAATTGACGTTTTAGATAAGGTTGTGGTCAAACTTTTATAACTTTGACTATTAATAACTTTAAAAATATTTAGTTTAAAGAAACTAATAACAACGTATATAGAAGCACTATAATAAAAATAAACATGCATTTATTCATTGTATATATTATAATAGAAAAATAAGGTCAAAGATATATTTTGTAGTCCGTGTCATTGTTCAAAACGTCAATTAAAATGAAACTGGAGGGAATATTGTTCAACAACATGAAGAGAATGTGTTCGCAGGCCCATCCGATGAATTTTGTTCACCTCGGTCCACCATGCTCATCAGCTCGCCATCTTTGCTCTGATTACTGATCACTTGATCATCAGAGTATATGATAACGCACTACAACAATTCGAGATTTTTTTGTGTACACTCGCGAGCAATGAAGCAACAGAGCACAAATCGGAGGTTTACACGCAGATGCCATCATCATCAACTCCCCTGTAATCACAATTGCCATCAGCATCGTTGCCCTTCTTCTTGTAGGTGTACACCCGCGAGAAGAGGAAGAAGGCGACGAGCTCGACGGCACAGAGGCCGGCGAGGAGCCAGTAGAAGTAGTCGAGGTGGGCGCGGTTGAGGTTGTTGGCGAACCAGCTGCCGCCGGCGCGCCTCGCCGTCGCGCCGTCGATCACCGAGATGAGGAGGCTGCTGAGGAGGTGGCCGACGCCGAAGATGCTGAGGAACAGCGCGAGGCCGAGGCTGCGCACGGCGTCGGGGACCTGGTCGTAGAAGAACTCCTGCAGGCCGATCATGGCGAACACGTCGGCGACGCCGACGAGAACGTACTGCGGCACCATCCACCACAGGCTCATCGGGAGCCGCGCCTTGGGGGCGTCCGCCATGCCGGCGCCGGCGGCGACGCGGAGGCGCCGCGTCTCCACGAGCGCGGACAGGACGACGGCGACGAGGGAGAGGGCGAGGCCGGCGCCCACCCTCTGCAGCATGGTGATCCCCGACGGCCTCCCCGTGTAGCGGCGGGCGAGCGGCACGAAGAGGCGGTCGTACACCGGGATGAAGACGACGATGCTGACGCTGATGAACGTCTGCAGCGCCGCCGGCGGCACGTTGAAGCTCCGGCCGATCCGCCGGTCCAGCGTCGCCGCCTGCTTGGTGAAGAACGTCGACGTCTGGGAGAAGATTATCGCGTAGATTATGCACGACGCCCATATCGGCAGCAGCCGGAGCACGCTCTTCACCTCCTCCACGAGGTCACCGGCGTCGCCGTCGCCGTCTCCTTTGCCGCCGCTCGCCGGACTGCATCCACCGTCTCACATCAGGACATGCACAAACAGTCAAAACACACAAAGAAAAACACTACTAAAATCGATCGAACTATTCTTCTTTACGCACTTGGTGCGACGGTTTGATCTCCAGCTCTTGATCAATGTCAAGAACGCCTTGGCGACGCGGGCGACGGGGCTGGCCGTCCTGGCTGTGTAGAACCTGTACGAGCGGGTGCCGAGGAGGAACGCGGCGAGGGAGACGACGATGACGATGCAGGGGATGCCGAAGCCGAGGCCCCAGCCGACGTTGTCCTGCACGTAGCTGGACACCATGGTGGTGACGGCGGTGCCGGCGCACATGCCGAAGTACCACCAGTTGAAGAAGGAGCTCCGGGCGGCGCACTCCCCGCCGTCCTTCTCGTCGAACTGGTCCGCCGCGAACGCCTGCGCGCACGGCTTGTGCGCGCCCTCGCCCAGCGCCACCATGTACAGCGCCACGTAGAAGACGGCGACGTGGCCGGCGCGCGACACCGGGAACGCCGACGACATCGACAGCGTGCCCATGCTCTGCATCCATGGAAACAATTAATTCTCAGTGTACGCGCCATGGTTGGGAAGAAGAACCGAAGGAGATTGCACCGACCAGGACGAAGATGACGGAGGCGAGGACGATGGCGCGGTAGCGGCCGAGCCAGGCGTCGGCGACGCAGGCGAGCGGCAGCGGCAGCATCTGGGAGACGCCCTTCCACGCGTCGATGGACGCGGCGGCGCGCGCCATCGGCTGCCCCAGCGGCCCGGTCAGGTACGTGATCAGGTTCGCCGCCACGCCCTTGTACGCGAACCTCTCCGCGATCTCCATGGCTGCACGCACCAACACAAACACAAGATCATCATCGACACATTCATCCAATCGCTCAAATCACTAAAAAACAAGGAAGATTTAAGCATACCCATGACGAACACCGACGACTTCCAGCCGCCGGTGGCGGCGCGGGAGGCCGGCCGGCCACGGTAATCGACGGCTCCGGCGACGGTGTCCGCCATGCCGGAGTCCAAGAGGTGAGACACCAGCTTGCTCCGGTGATCGGCCATGGTACAGCTTGTTAGGGCTTTATACGAAACCGAAATCGACACGCGGCTGCTTAGGCAGATGTAATCCCCCTTTCTTAACTCTGAAATTACTGCTAATCACCTTCCCTAAAACCCCCTCTACTCTTCCCAAATTTACCCGATCTTGCAATCCTAGTTGAAAATTATCGTACAAAACCCCCTCGAATTAGGACGCTCTTGCTAATCAACCCCTGTCTTACGCTAATGCAGCGGGGCACGTGTCACGCACGCGTGGCCCGTGTCGCGGCGTGTACGGACGAGAGTCGCCACGTGCGGAGCACGGTTCCCTATCGTGCATTTAGGACAGGCTTCTGGTGATGCGGGCCGGTGGATCATGGATGGACGGCTGAGATTTCACGGCTTCGAAGAGGATAGGTTCTTCCCGCGAATCAATACCGACGGCGACTAGGCGATTACTAGTATAGAGATGAGATGAGCCGTTATTGCTGCTTTGATCTTTGAACTTTTGGAAAAGCAACGGACAGGAAACTGTTGCCAACCAGACCACGAAACAAGCTGTCCTGGATACGTTTTTCAGCAGCACCGCATCGTAAATTTTGCGGTGTTGAAAGAAAATGTTTATTTACCTATTTTCTAACCATACGATTTCAATACAACTAAAATTATTTTATGTATGCCATTATATAAGCATGAGATGTATTTTTATACCGTGTTTGCAACTTTGCATATGGATCAAAATGCTCCCGCTAACTCTTTCTCCCCACCTCATTGACATGTGGGCCCACGCATCATCCCCCTTCCTATGTTCCTCATCCCACTCATCTCCTAGTCGTTCTCGTGACATTATCGCCCTCTTTGGAAGACACTAATGACGAGTTCCCGGTGGGGAGTTGGAGGTCATGCTCTGGTGACTTAGATACTCGGAACCCTTTGACAACTCGAGAATGAGCAACATGACTGGGAGGAGGCAGCGGAGAGGAGCAGCAGTAGCACTTGTGGACCATTTGACAACAAGGGTGCGAGTGATGGCTCGTTGATGATGCCAACGGGTCGAGCTGGGCGAGGGTGTGGTTGTCCGGCGCTGGTGCAGGATCACGTTGATAAGCTCCACGTTAGATCCAGTGCCTCCTCATCCACGATGCTTGCGAAGATAAGCTTAACGAGACCATTGACATCTCGTAGTTCCTGCTCCTCGCCCTAACAATGCACCTTCCTCAACCTCCGCCTCTCCCACTAACAAGGTCGTCGTTGTCTCGCCTTGTCGCCACATGCCGCCATTGTCTCTGAGCATCCGTGAGGAATAAGATGGAAGGGAACTGACAGTGAGGAAGAGAGAAGAGGAAGGGTGAGAAAGAAGAGGGACTGACGGGACGGGTGTGTTCCACATATAGATTGGATATTATGTCCAAAGCATGTCTGATGCGTATAACATGGCACGAATACAATTTAGTTGTATTGGAAAATGACATGGTTAGAAATAGGTGAATAACAATAATATTTTAAATACCATAAATTTGCAATAGCAATGATCAAATTGACCCATACAAATACAACTTTCCCTTGCAAGAGAGAACATCTTCATCACTTTATACACGAGAGAGCAAAAGGACAGCACCGGAGTATCCATCACAAGCTAGGTCCATGTGTTAGCACAGTTGAATAATGTACGAACACAAGGAAGAATTGCGTACACCAGCACCGTCTTGTGCGCACTGTTCATGCTGATCTGCAACAAAAGTGACGAATCTAGCTCCTTTTTATATGCGTATATAGGCCGGCTAGCCGAATACGGACCGATCGATCCCACTATGCACAGCTACAGCCCAATGGCTAGTCAGTGAGTCAACTATGAGCAAAAGATATGCATTGCATCTCCTACTCCTACCCTGCACGCATCAAATTCTGAAAATCAACGTATCATCACAAACTTCAGTAGGTAAGGAAGTAGCAGTGCTGAACTGATGATAGTTCGGCACAGATAGAAGGGGAGTACAAAGATGCTAAGCTGCCAACGTTCTTAACCAGCCGAGCAAACAGTTAGAACGGAAACCAAATTTTGAAAAAAACTCAACATCTCATGACAAACTTCAGAAGGTAATTAAGAAAGTAGCAGAGCTGATCATTCGGCACAGGCAGGAGAGGAATATGAAGATGCCAAGTTGCCTAACAAACAGTTGGTAGAACGGAGTGTGTTTGAATCAGCTTGCTTCAGTACGTGTGCCACTGTATGGTTAAACGTGGTTGGTTCAGGCTGCAGATCAAAAGCAAGCATCGGAGATCGCATTTTGCGCCGCGGCCTTTGAGGCCTCACGAGTCGCGATCAAAGGCGACAACGCGCTGGAAAGTCTGCTACCGAAGCCGAAGGTGCAGACTAACGGAACAGAAAAGCTTCACCCATAGCAGCAGTGCAGCACCACCCAACAATGGCAGGTCGCCATTTGCAGCAAAGGGCATAGAAAGCAAACTACTGGAGTAGCAGCTTCGAATGGACAATTTCCCACCAGAAAAGAGAAAGTGAAGACGTCCACAAACCACAACCATCTTGGTACGCGCACATGCACTCCATTCAATCGTTCAGGCATCGAAATAAAAATGGACACGTTAGCAATCAGTAAACATAGCAGGAAAAAAAATCGATTTCTCTACAGAGAATTTGTACAAGATAATGGTTAAATCTTTAGTCTTTACACATGGTTCAGTCAAAGGTACTACTAATGGTTAGTAGATCTTTTCACAGGAATCAGAGCTTAAGTATCAAGGTTTTATTCACTTTCTAGGATTTAATCACCTGTACAAACATTTTCAGATTTCACAAGAACATGCACAAGAATTAGCTAGCTAACCTCTACTTCTACATGACATCACAACCGTTGTGAGGAACCCTCTTCTTATACACGTAAACGCGCGACACGAACACGAACGCGACGAGCTCGACGGCGCAGAGGCCGGCGAGGAGCCAGTAGAAGTAGTCGAGGTGGGCGCGGTTGAGGTTGTTGGCGAACCAGCTCGCCCCGCTCTTCTTGGTGGCGCCGTCAATGGCGGAGATGATGAAGCTGCTGAAGAAGTGACCCACCCCGAATATGCTGAGGAAGAAGGCGAGCCCCAGGCTGCGCAGCGCGTCGGGGACCTGGTCGTAGAAGAACTCCTGGAGGCCGATCATGGCGAACACGTCGGAGAGCCCGAACAGCACGTACTGCGGCACCATCCACCACAGGCTCATCGGCAGCGCCGCCTTGGGGTCGTCCACCATGCCGGCGTCCCTGGCGACGCCGAGCCGCCTCGCCTCCACCAGCGCCGCGACGACCATGGCGGCGAGCGCCAGCACGAGGCCCGTGCCGATCCGCTGCAGCATGGTGATCCCCGAGGACGCGCGCGTGAACCGCCGCGCCACGGGCACGAACGCCCGGTCGTACACCGGGATGAAGGCGATGATGGTGACGCTGATGAACGTCTGCAGCGCCGCCGGCGGCACCCTGAAGCTCTCGCCGATCCGCCGGTCCAGCGTCGCCGCCTGCTTCGTGAAGAACGTCGACGACTGGGAGAAGATCACCGCGTAGATGATGCACGTCGCCCATATCGGGAACAGCCGCAGCACGCCTCTCAGCTCCTCTCGGTGGTCGCCGCCGTCGTCATCGTCCACGACGGCAAGAGCGCTGTTCGCAATCAAACAAACCATAAATCACCCAAAAAAATAACGCCATAATTCACATCAACATCAGACAAGAAATCGATTAGAACATACTCGTCTTTGGATCCTCTGATGAGCGCGACGAACGCTCTGGCGAGGCGAGCGAAGGGGCTGGACTGGGTGGAGACGTAGTAGCGGTAGTTCCTTGTCCCGAGCAAGAACATGGCGAGGGCGAACGCCATGACGAGGCAGGGGATGCCGAAGCCGAGGCCCCAGCCGATGTTGTCCTGGATGTAGGAGGACACCATGGTGGTCATGGCGGTGCCGGAGCACATGCCGAAGTACCACCAGTTGAAGAAGGAGCTCCTGGAGACGGACTCCTTGGCGTCGTTCTGGTCGAACTGGTCGGCGCCGAACGCCTGCGCGCACGGCTTGTGCCCGGCCTCGGCGAGCGCCACCAGGTACAGCGACACGTAGAAGATGGCCACCTGCGCGGTGGAGGGAGCGCAGGACAGCGACTTGGAGGTGTAGCTGCAGCCGCCGCCGTCGCCGTGGAACGCCGGGAGCGCCGACGAGAGGGTTAACATCCCCATGCTCTGCAGCAGCAGCCCAATGTAAGTGATCACTGTTCATACTTGCAAAATGAACTTTAAATCCTCAAATTCTTATCTGAAACTATGGTTTTGGACTTATTTTGGTCGGATTTGAGGTGTTTATGTAATCAATTATGGACGTTGAGAAGCAGAAAGGTGAGATATTGAAACGGCCATCAGAAATTTGGCTGTGGAGCATGAATCGCTGTTATAAACTCCTAATTACACACACTGAAATTCGTATAGAAGATGCAAACTTGCGGTGACCCACAGAATCCACGAAACCTAGGAGCGGAGTGGACGCACTTTTTTTTTTCCAAAACGTGTGGCCGCCGACTCGCCCCCAAATTGGATATATGTAGGTGATTTGGAAAAGTTCATCTGAAGAAAGGCGTGCGCTTTTTTCTGTCAGTGAAAAGGGGGAAAGTGGGAACTGACCACGACGAAGAGGAGGGAGGCGAGCACGATGGTGCGGTAGCGGCCGAGCCAGGCGTCGGCGACGCAGGCGACCAGCAGCGGCAGCATCGTCGCGACGCCGCTCCACAGGTTGATCGCCGCCGCCGCCCCCGCCGTCGACTCCCCCAGCGGTCCCGTCAGGTAGCTGATCAGGTTCGCCGACACGCCGTGGTACGCGAACCTCTCCGCGATCTCCACCCCTTTTCACATCCAAAATCCACAAAATTTCACTCAATCGATCCTCGGGAGTTGGGGTTCGGGGAGGAGGGGGAGATTGGGCGTACCGAGGACGAACATTGCGGCGGACCAGCGGCCGGTGGAGGCGCGGGAGGCCGGGCGGCCGCGGAAGTCGACGGCCCCGGCGACGGCGCCCTCGGAGCGCGGCAGGAGGAGCGCATCGGTGACGGCGTGGCTGGCCATCGTCGCGTCGTGGTGGGTCGCGTTGCGTCTCTGGTGGATCACTGGCCGGGGAGGAGGACACCAAGATATAGGGGGCCGATCCGTTCGCGGCGCGCCACGGGACAACCAGCTACGCGCCGCGCCGGCGTCCGTTCTCCCCCGCTTTTCGCTAAGAAAAATCACCCACTTTTTTTTCCTGACAATTCGCTCGCTTTACTACTAGTAGAATGTTTGTTACAGAGTTCACTGACGAGTTCGAGGCCGCACGATCCGGATCGGGCGGCGCTGACGGCGAGCGATCCGGCGGCGCAGGAGGATAAAATCGACCGTGCGATGCGTGAATCGTGATGCGATTTGCGTTTGCGTGCGGCGTAGGAGAGAGAGAGAGGAGAGAACATGGCGCTGATCCAAAAAAGAGTTGTGTGATTTTTTTTTTGTCTGAGGCGACAAGTGATCGATAGGGCAGAAGCGTAAGGTGAGAGGCGACCTGAACCTGACCTGGAAGATTTGTTGCGAGACGGTTTGGCCCGTTGCGCGCGGCGGAATCGCGTGGGGGCGCACGGGTTGCTTCGGGATCTCTTGTGCAATTATCTCGGGATAATCGCTACAACACTCCGTATTTTTATTTTTTTTAATTCGGGTAGTGTTGGTTCTGAAAGAGACGGTGTCTGTACGTGACTACGAAATCGTTGCATTATCCTTTCATCCTTGGACATGTCTACGATACGAGAGACGGGAATTTTTTTTTTTTTTGGCGAGCTGTTGCTGTCCGTATGAAAGGCTCACCAGGTCGCTGTTCATTGCTTCCGTTTCTTCAGTTCAGAAAGCTATGTATAGAAGATTCTACGAGCGGTATACTTCTCCTTTTCACATGGAGTAGGAGTGTACTGCGTTCAAGCTCAAAATCCATGGCGACGAACAGAACAATGTCTGTGAGATCTAGGGCCACAGTGATGCGGTGAATCGCCGTGGCCACAGACGATCCAGGGCGCGTGGCGGCGGCGCGGCGGCGCGCGCGGGCATGCCGCGAGTGCGTGGTCGGCGCGTGCCCTGCATGCCAGAATTGGAAGGTGGCGTCGTCCGCGCACGGGGCTCGCTGCCACCTCGGACACCTCCTACCTCTCTCACGCAACACCACAAAAACACCACGCTTGCTCTGCCACTAGGCAATGCGGCCGCTACAGCAATTTGCAGCATCTCTCTCCCATCGTACTACTACCTGCCTAGAGGTAAAATAACGAGCAACAGTTTGTTTGTTTATTTCTGTATGCTTGCAAGCTGCAATTGTTTTTTGGCACCCAGTTGCGTGGTTTGTTGAGCAGATCAGGGTTGTATGTATTTTGTTTTTGTGTCGCTGTGCCCAGCTGTTGCTTTTGGTTCTTTGGTTGACCGTGATGGACATGGGGTAATTAAGGTCTTTTTCAGTTTGTTGCTAAAATTAACTATGTAAATTTTTAATATTGTAGAACAAAATAAACCAGATTTTACCATCATGACATTTTCAAATCTTACCGACTGTTGGTAATTTTATGAAATTCTACACATAAAACTGTTCTAAAATTTAGTAGTGTCAGACTAAACACCATCTTCACATCTCATCTTGATCTTTCCAATTTATCAACAAATGGCAAGTATCTTTTCAATGAACTGAAAGACCCTAAATCCACAACTTATACGGTATAGTATTTAGTACTCCCTCCGTTTCGAAATGTTTGACACCGTTGACTTTTTAGCACATGTTTGACCGTTCGTCTTATTTAAAAGCTTTTGTGAAATATGTAAAATTATATGCCTACATCAAAATATATTTAACAATGAAACAAATGATAGAAAAAGAATTAATAATTACTTAAAATTTTTGAATAAGACGAACGGTCAAACATGTGCTAAAAAGTCAATGGTGTCAAACATTTCGAAATGGAGGGAGTATATGCTCACACAACAGGACAACTTTACACGGTTGCCTTTGCCTACTGGCGTCGTGTTACACGAGAAGCAACATATGCAATCTGACCATCTCGGGACGGGCAGGGGATCGTGTGTATCACACGATAGGCGCTGTAACCTTGGCCCAGCCCAAGTCGATCAGAGCGGAGACCCAGCCCAAGTCGCCTAGCAGCGGCGCATGGCGGCGCTGTGGGCTGTACTCCGTGGGCTTTAGTCCGTACGAAAAAAGGTCGAGGTGCATGAGCGAATGTTGGACTGTGGGTGTTAGCTTTAGGCCATAGACCTTGTTTGGAGAGCTTGTCACAGCTACAGTTTCTCTTAAAAGTTGCTTATGCTAGAAGCTATCTCAAATAGTCCACAGCTTCTGAAAATCTGTAGTTAAACTAAGAAGCCAGAAGCTGGGTTTCAGAGCTTTTCCAGATTCTGAGAAGCTGGCTACCAAATAGCTGCTTTTTAGAATCTAAAACTCCCCTAAACAGACCATTAATCACTTGAAGTTTGACTTCTGAGAGACGAAGCTGTCTCACTGTACAAGTACAGTTAATTTCAGTACACCCTACACGTATCAATACAAAAATAAAATAAAATATTGTCACTTTATCAAATTTCAATATAATTATTTTTCTTTTTATCCGCTTATAATATATTTATTCAATAGTTTCATAGACTTTAATGTTATGATTACTTAAAAATAAATTTATTTTAAATAAGCAGGAGGAGTCAATAATTCACCTTTTCTGATACGGAGACAGTACGTTCTACATGACACTTTTCTAGTCTGTACCTTTGAATTCTTGGTGCCTGCCCCGTTGGTAAACGCAATTAATCACTACTAATATCATGTGGAGGCTGTTCAGTCAGAGATCACAGTCACCGTAAATTTTTTACACTCACAATTTACACAAATATAAATATATGCATCTGTGTTTTTTTTAAAGTGCATCGGTCACGTATCAACTCCTTAAAAACAATTTATCAGCCAATAAGAAAACAAATCCATATAGATCAAAGACATTACATAATGCCACGAGACCAACAAGAGACAGCTCTGGACAACCTTAGCTGGCTCCATGAGGCTTAAAATGATGCTTTAAATTGACCTTTCCACTGAACTCATATAATACTGCTAGCCCTTTTTTATACGTAATACTAAGTGCCTGTTCACTTTGATGCCAAAAAAAACCTTACCAAATTTTGGTATTGCCGAAATTTTGGCATAGTTGCCAAAGTTTACCAAAATTTGCCAAAATTTTGGCAAGATTTCTTATATAGTCACCAAAATTTGGTAGCAAACTAAATATAGCCACTTTTTAGCAACTTTAACAAAATTTGGTAAGGTTTAAAATGGCATCAAAGTGAACAGGCCCTAATCTTTTAAAGAAAACCCTTGACATTATGCATGCTGCCATCACATGTTGATTATCCCACTATTTCTTTGCACTATTATTTTCATAGGAAAGAAAAGAAGATATTTCTCTGTTCTCCATCAGATATTTCTCTTATCTTGTTTGGTGCCAGCACAGCAGCCAAGCTGCAGACATCACCTGATTCAACTTCTGCATCCAACCACAGCACAACATGCCCAGCACAACTCATTTAAGGTGTATGTGCCCAACGTAATAAGAAATTTCTAATTTAGTTATGTCTATATAGTTTAACATAATAAGATTTACTGTTTCAAATCTAGTTCAGATTTCACTTGTTGGTATTGTTTTCATTTTTTTTGTCAGTAAAAAGGGGCACCTGTATCTCACTCTCATGGTAGTCTCACCGTGTGACTATCGGCACAATCTGAGGCTCACGAGATGCCATCTATGTAGGGTTACATTAGCGGTCAATTTTCAACGTCAACTCTTCCAAACAGAAAATAAATCGTTATCGAAGGGTGATTTCGCTGGTCACAGAAGGCAGTACATTTTCTACATTGGACAGTGTACTCTTCCATCTCAAAATACAATTGCTTACTACTACTACTACTACGTGATTACGCCTTCTTTAAAGAAGATTAAGCCTGCGACACTATACTTTTCCAACTTCTACTCATTCTTACACACACATATAATACAGTAAAATTATATAAAAATCATATTAATTTAGTTTTAAGATTGTTAGCTAATATTTATTAATCATATGCTAAATAGCTACCTCGTTCCCTTGCGTGAGGAGAAGTTCCTAACTCCTCTCAAACACAATCTAAATTGTGATCGATTGAGGTGAGACCATGTGAGAAATATTAAATGAAAAATAATGTTATGATGAGAAGATAGATAGAGAAATAGTATTTCAAGACAAATTTAAATTCTATAATTTGCTATATTTTAAAATAGGAGAGTAGTAGTATTTATCTTTTGAGCGATGAACAAGCACGAGAAATTTGAAGAGGTAAAACCTTCTTTGCTTAAAAAAACAATCGCAATCAAAATGTTGCAAGTTCTAAAAAGAGGCCAGAAAAAGTTTAGCCGTATCATTTGAAATATAATAATGTACTAGCAAGTTCTAAAAAGAAGGCAGAAAATGTCGGCAATATAGCAACGAACAACCATTCGTTAGACCTACCAGAATCGAATTGTTTACACTAATATAAGCACTTTCTGTAAAATTTATTTTTTAAAAAATTAAAAAATACTGGGAAATTTATTATGCATTAAAAAAGAGGACGAACAACAAGTGATGAGTTTGATGACTGTTGAACTGATCCATACTCCCTACTTCCCATAATATAAGGGATTTTAAGTTTTTCTTGACCACTCGTTTATTAAAAAAAAATTATGCAAATATAAAAAACGAAAAGTTATGCTTAAAATACATTGGATAATAAAGTAAGTCACAAATAAAATAAATAATAATTCTATTTTTTAATAAGATAAATGGTCAAACCATGAAAAAAAAAAACTTAAAATCCTTATATTATAGAACAGAGGAAGTATAAAAGATCTAAAATAACTGAACCATTTAAAAAAAAAAGGACAAGGAGAGAGGGAGAGAGTTGAACCACTGTGGCGGGCTAATCACCAAAGATGAAGATTGGCATTGGTCATGTCATGTGGGCCACTTAAACGTGTGATTAGCTATGAGATTACCCCCTTAATCCCGTTTTAGGCACAGCCTAAGTCTCTGTCAACATCCTAATTCATCTCCTTCCCGAGGAAAATAAATAGAGAAAAAGCTCCCTTCTTTCTTTCTCTCTCTCTCTCTCTCTTCCTACCAAGATCCCTCTCTCTCTCTCTCTCTCTCTCTCCAGCTTCATAGTCCAGGCGTCAGCTTCAGCCCGGGGCTTAAGCGAACTGCGGGATTTGCTATCCCGGGCGCGAGATCAAATTCACGAAGAGAAAGGTGAATCCCCATGTCGCTACTGGTTTAATTTCTGTCAAAGCGGTTCTAAGAATTCGATTTTTACTACCTTTTAGGGGGTTCGTTTATCTGATTTAGTGCTAAATTGGGATGAGGCACTTTTTTGCCCTAGGAGAGATTTGATACCCTGCATGGCTGTCTTAGATTGTTGAATTAGGAATTGGGGCTCTGCTGTATATATTCATGGATTGTCAGATTCGATTTGGAGCTCTCATTTACCAATCCCCTCTCTTCCTTAATAACGCCGTTAATTAATTTGTGCATGTCTATGTGGGTTGTTTGATTTGAAGTTCTTTTTCATGGGATCATCATGTAGATTCGCATTATATCTCAGTGGCTCTTTCTTTCGATGCCTCAGAGTTTTGCCCTGCGCGCCCGTTGAATTTTCTAACTCCAGGATCCAGGAGATACCATAGGAGAGTGAGTGCTTACGTTTTCGATGTGACAAATTTTCGTTTTATGTTTAGTGATTTGTGTTCGCAGTAAGGAGCATTGCAGAGGCTCCTGTCGATCCTGTTGCGAGTTTTAACCTGAGAAAATGATATCTCCTACTTCATAATTTTGTGGCAAGATGTTGTGTTACTCTCCAATGAAAATCCTTGTTGCTACATTGAACAGCTCTACCATTCAAATCGACGCCTTCAAATGTTTACACATTTGCCAATCTGTTCCTTTGTATTAATGATATATGTCCAAGCTAATATGGCAATAAACTTTTACCTTATTTACTAACTATATAACGGACAAATATCCAGGTTTATGTAGGAACTGAAGAATATGCTTTACCGATTTGTCAAGGGCTGTTTTTTATATGATATTTTTGTGGGGGTTGCTTCCTGGATTGCAAAAGATAGTCTTGATTAACAATATATTTTTTGCAACTTGCATAGCAATGATTATTCATTTAATAAGAGATTGCCACTTTCTAATGGTTGAGGTAGTGCAATCTTTTTTTTTTGACACGATGAGGTAGTGCAATCTGGAACTGACACTGACATCTATATGATGCAACAGCATAACTATAATGTACATGACTTTCATTTTAGTTAATAGTTGGGGGTTTCATGTTTTTTGATAAGCAATAAAATCTTGGAACCTTGCTCTTCTTGGTTAGTTCTGTATGTTCAAGTGTTTGTCTCCTGGCCGATGTATGCAGCATGAAGCTTCCAGCTGTTCAACATGTGGATTATTTTCAAGTTAATTACTAACAGGTTATTAATGAAACAATCCTCCCTAGCCTTGAAAGAGTGCTCCATCCCTTGTCATTTGGTTTCACTAGCATTGCAGTTATCTCAATTTCACAACTATAGCTTCATGTGAAAATGGTTCTTTGTTGTTGCCTGACATTCATAGAATCTGTTCCCCTGTTCCTTATATCTTTTTTTTCTAAGCATCACCTTTCCTTTTTACAGCAACGACAGCAATTTCAGCTGCATCATAACCATGAGTCTAGCTTGTCTAGTATGCCATGGCATGAGCAGCCCCTCGCACTCGTTTAGGAGCTATTCGGTCTCAAGTTCGGAGGAGGAGAACAGGTGTGGAGCTGTTGTTGCCTGCCTAACACGGCGAGTAATGCCTGCTGGAACCGCTAACACTGTAGGGACGTCGAAGGTGACACCTTTTCCTCTAATGGCTGCTGGCCAAGGCACTGAAGGCGCTCCTCGACTTCAACGAAGCCGTGCTGTTTCAAGGGATCTTGTCAGGGACTGGAACTTTGAAGAGATTGCTATCAGGAACTAGAGTGAGTAGGGTGTGCTAGCAGTTCTTTCCAGGTTGAGCATATGGCACTATCCTTTGGCAGCAGATTTCGAGTGACTTGATGTACATTTTCTAGTATACATCTGGATATCTAGGTACTATATCAGTACGCATTCAATCGAGAGCAAATTATTAAGAGTACTGGTGTATGTACTGGTACTCCTTTGCAGATGAAAGAGTACTGGTACTTAGAGAGACAGCATTTGTCATGTTATATACTAGTTACCAACCTGTGTAGTTACATCAATTTTTCAGGGCCTTTTCTTTTCACTGCTACCAAATATGAATTATAAATTAAGGGGGTTTTTTTTGTCTCTTTAGAGATCAGGAGTGATCCCTGTTGGTGCCGTATTAAGTCAGCTGGAGTATTTTTCACAGGTCTTGGATGTTGTAGGTTTTTGATGTATTGGTGTCAACTGTTAAGCATCGTCCTGCGAGACCATGAAGAATTCAGCTGCTGTGTATTTTTCTTTTCTCTGGTCTAGGTTTACGAGTTAGCTTTGCCAATCTTATATATCGTCGCAGTTCCTGGTTGGCTCCTGGCTGAAATTTGATGTCATGATGCGTTCATGCTGTCATTTTCCATCAAAACACTACTCTACGAAGCTACATAAGTTTATTTGCACAGAAAGAAAACAACCTGGCTTCCTTGTTTAGAAAAAGAAATCAAGAAGTATTATCCATTTTCCCGGAGTTACATTCAAGTTCTTTATCACAGCAGACACAATCAAACAACAAAAATTCTTACTTGTCAGACAATGACACATCGTTTGTATTTCAAATGGTACCGAAGTGGCAGTTGAAGGCGCCTTTGGTCACTCCCCACTGCCATTGTATAACCTCACATTTTCACTTAGCAGCAACACGGGGTTTGATCAGCGCAACAGCTTCTTTGATTTTCTCCATAGCAGTTTGAAGCGTAGATAGTGCTGCAGCATATGACATGCGGATGCATTTGTCGTCCCCAAATGCATCGCCCGGGACAAGTGCAACCTATAATAGCGCAATCGATAAATTGCGGTTAGTAATAGTTTTACTGTGTCAGTAAACTTCACTGAAAAATGCGAATGAAATCTGTATTCATACCTGTGCTTTCTCCAAGAGGAACATGCAGAGGGACTCAGAGTCCTTGATAGTGCCAAAACCCTCTACTTCAGATCCATAGTAGGAGCTGAAGTCGATGAACAAATAAAAGGCACCCTACAAATTTGGATGTTTAGCCATCTGTCTGGGGTATGCAACTAGGATTTAGCAGAACTACTGGATCTTATCAATTCTCACCTGAGGCTCTGATATCTTCACACCTGGCAGTTCCTTGAAACTTTTTACAAGGTAATCACGACGTTCCTGGAATGCTTTGACCATAGTTGAGACTGCTTCACCACCAGCGTAGCCAAGGTTCAAAGCAGCGAGCCCTGCCTTCTGTGATATGCTACTAGCACCTGAAGTAAACTGCAGCAAACAAAGCGTTGGTGTGAGGACAACTGCAAATCAGAGTTTGCAGAAGGAAAAGGGGGCTAGAACAGATAATGTTGCGGCACGTGAAGTTTTCTAGAATTAACAAAGTGATAGTTCTATGATAATGCAGTATCACATGACTACATCACTCAACACTACACATTTATAGTTGCATGAACAAGAAGTGATCACCTGGCTTTGGATCTTTCCACAGGCTGCAACAAAATGTTTTGGGGCTGCAAGGTATCCAAGTCGCCAGCCCGTCATTGCAAAAGCCTGTAAAATTTGCATCAGCAAATATTCAGCCAGCTTTCTAAACCCAGTGGGTAGGTAAAAACTGAAATAGGCAGACTCCTTGCTATGTTCATTAAGATATTACATTTCAGATTGTGAAAATCCACATATAGCTAAAGAGGTGCCCGACATATTTTAAAGAGTGAACAGAAATAAACAGAAGCATATCTACCTTAGAAAAACCATTTACAGTTAATGTTCTATCCCACATTCCAGGCAATGAAGCAAAGCTTGTGTGTTTTGCTGGCTGATAGATGATATGCTCATAAATCTCATCAGACAAAACCTGAAAGACAGACAAGATGATAGGCCATAATCATCATGCGGTGAAAATGTAAACTGGTTAAAGAAAGGGGGAAACTAAAACACTTACAAGAAGCCTAGGATACTTCTTGACTATGTCAGCTATTTCTTCAAGCAGCTCCTTTGGATATACTGATCCAGTTGGATTAGAAGGAGAGCAGAGAATCAAAAGCCTCGATTTCTCGTTGATCTTTGAAGCAAGCAGCTCTGGCCTTAGCAAGAAATTCTCTGATATGCTTGTAGGAAGGATCACTGGAGTTGCACCAGCCAATGTAGCCATCTCAGGATAACTGACCCAGTATGGTGCTGGTATCAAAACCTAAAAGAAAGGGATCCCTCAATATTGTTAAAACAGATGATAGTGCAATTTGAAGCACAATAAACATAAACAAAGGAGTAACAGCTTTAGCAGCACAAACTTCAGTGGCAGCATCTAATATTAAGTTCTAATGGAATGATTGCATTTATCTGATACAAATAATTCTAATGGCATTAAACAAGACGGTCAACAACAACACATGGCATTAAACGATACAGGTAATAATACGTCATATCTGACAAAACCAAAAAGCAAATTATCAATGATGTACTTTCTGTAATGAACAATCAAGACATCGTAGCGTATAGAAAGGTCCCCATGATCTCCAAAGAAATATAAAGGAACTAATGAGATTTGTGTTTTTGTTCTCCTAGATACTATAGATGTTCAATACATCGCAGCGTAGCAACTAGCATTAGCAAGACAGAGGCCAAACCTCATCACCAGGTGAGCAAACGGCAAGTACGGCTTGCGTAATGCATTGCTTAGCTCCATTGCTCACCAGCACCTGATCTGGACTGTAGGATATCCCATTTTCCTCTGCACATTTATTAGTCAAACAAAGTTACTCAAATCTTCTTTTGAACTAAGGTAGTAGGTCTGCAAACAAGAAATTCATCCACGCACCTTGGAGTTTATTGCAGATAGCCTTTCTCAGCTCCAAAGTCCCAGCATTAGGAGTGTACCTTGTATAACCATCCTTAATTGCATTCATCCCAGCCTAGATCACAACAAGCAACAAGAGCGATCAACACTCAACTTGCTACCAACAGAATTCGTTCTTTTGCCTAAGAACAAGTGCACTACTGCAGTATTAGTTGCAAGCAAATAATAAACATTCCTACACTTTCATAACCAAAATTGAGCGCACAGCATTCAGAGTCCCCCAAAATTGGCCAATTCAAGTTCAAGTTCAAGTTCACAAGCATTTGAGCTTTTGCAGACTTACTAGTGCAATGAATTCACAACTAAGAACAACACACAACAAGAACTGATAGTAGCAATTAATGTTAATCAATCCCTTTTAATCCTTATAACCCACAACTTGGATAAACATATCATGATGATATTCCCCTACCCGGGGCTAAATTTTCTACCGAGACGAAGAAAAAAAAAAGGCACCTACCTCAGCAATCACGTGCGGCGTGTCGAAGTCGGGCTCCCCGGCGGCGAGGCCGATGACCGGGACGCCAGCCTGCCGCAGCGCCGTGGCCTGGTCGGTGATGGCCATGGTCTTGGACGGCCGCAGCGCGCTCACCGTCGGGCTGATGGTCGCGTCCACCGCCTCCGCCCTCACCACCACCGACGCCATCCTGCACCTCCCCGACGCCCTGCAACAACAAGCCAATCCATTCCCCCCCACGTCATCACGTCACCGATCGCCGCCAAAGAACCAGCAAAGATCCAACCCCCCAACGCGACGCCGATGCTCACCTGGCGAAGCAGACGGAGTTGGGACTTGAGGAGGAGGAGGAGGAGGAGGCGGGCTTGGTGGGAGTGGAGAAGGAGGTGGCGGAGGTGGAGGCCGCCATGGATGGGAGGGTGGTAGCGCTTAGCTCGGCTGCGTGTGTCGCAGCGGTAGGTAGTTTGTGTTGTTGTATTGGTTCGAATCGAGCAGGGGTGGTGGACTTGTGCATCCACCTGCGGCTGCGGTAGGTGGGTGGGGTCGGTTGGTCGGAATGGGAATTGGACCTCGATTTCGTTGGCTTTTTTTTCCGTTTCCTTCTCTTCCTCCTCCTGTTCTGATGGGTTTTTCCTCATGATTTCATTGCCTTTTCGTTTCTTCTATTCCTCCTCCTGATCTTACGAGTTTCCACCAGATTTCGGCCTGTTCGGTTATCCCGGATTTAATCCAGGCCGAGAATGACAAGTACAGTATGAAAGTTATATATAGATACAATAAGACACTGGAATTTATTCTGGACCGAGAACTAATTTACTTATGATATGGATAATAAGAGACCGGGAATCAATCCACTAGTTAAGAGGTGTGGAATTAATCCGGATATTTTGTTGTCCCTATCATGAGTAAATTGGTTCCCGGCTTAGAATAAATCATGATCTCTCATTGTATTTATCATAAATTTCTTACTATATTTGCCATTTCCGGCCTGGATTGAATCCGGCCATAACCGAACAAGTCCTTTATTGGGAGTTTGATGTATTCGAATCAAATGCACGCTATTCTAAGAGCATGTTTGACATGGTTATAACTTCTCAATCTAACTCTAGGACTCTAGTTTATTTTTTTTAGAGATTTCTAGCCCACTAAACTCTTTTTTTTTAAAAAAAAGAAGTTAAACCGTTTGGTTAGACTCCGGTCTAGATTTAGGAGAGATTAAGCTGGAGCCCTGCCAATGCTCCAAATAGGCCCTAATAAGGATGAAATCCAAATTCATGTGTACAAGCAAGCTGTGAATCAGCTTAAACTATCACTCTCAAACTCTATTGTAACTCGTCTAGCTATATGTAGATTTCACGAAAATCAGTTCAATTCTCACGATACAGATAATCGTTTTGATCATCCTGCATGAGAGCATCGCTTGGGTTTTACTGGAGCGGGCTCATCAGAAAGAGAATTTTATTGTCATGTACATGTTGATGTCATGTTATGACAAGGTGTAGGCACTACAACAATGGCACCAATTCAGATAATTAGAAACGCTTCTTGCATATATATACCAAGATTGGGCTATCTCAATCTATAAGGAAAGATAAAAAGTACTTGATCATTACTGATGATCATAAAATAAAGTACACTTCAGGAAGAAGGAATGACCTAAAATGGCTCCTTCAACAGAGGAAGAATAGGGCTAGACAAGGTACACAAAGGTAGGCAAGGCCATTGCCGTCATCGTTAACGTTGGCCTCGATCAGCTGTCTCCGTTCTGCTGCCCGAAGCTGCATGATCCTGAGGGCAAGAAGGAGAAGGGATTCTCAGAGATGTCAAATCCAGGTCGAGTGAAGTCATCAAGCCCACCGAAGCAAGGATCAAAGCTCAATGGCGAGAAATAGCGTGGATCATCAGCCATCTTCATGTCAAGATTTGGGATGTCGTCCGATGAGCTACCGGGGAAGTTATACCCAGCGCTCCCCACCATGGTGTTCATCGCCTCGCTGCCTTGAGGTTGCTCTGATGCTCCTGTTACTTTGATATCATCCATAGGGAGTGCAGGCGTGTGCCCTTGGAAAAGAGCAACATGCCCAAATAACTTGTCTTTTCTTGAGAAGGTAGTTCCACACGAGCATAGCCACTTGTCGCGGCCACAGTGCTTTTCATGAGTCTTCAAGTCCGCGATAACTGAGAACTTCTTGGTGTTGCAACGGCTGCAGGTGTAGCTCTTGTCACAGTGGCTTCTCTTGTAGTGGTTCTTCACACACAGGATTGTCTTGAGAGGCTGGAACTTCTTGTGCTCTTTGTTCCGCTTGCAGCCAACATATGGGCACGAGTACCTTGTAACTGGTGCAGACTCTAAGCTAGAATCTTTCGAAGGTTTCGCAAGAGCTGCAGCAGTTTTGTACTCGTCTCCATGGCCCCTCATGTGCATCCTAAGATTAGCATCTCTTTTAAAACCCTTGCCACAGATCAAGCAGAAGTGAGTATGTGGTGCTAAAATCTCCTCCTTCTCTAATTGCAATACTACATAAGACCCAGGGGGGAGATTCTCTCTCTCACCACCATCATCACTCTCCTTCACATCATGGTCTTCCATTGGAATCGGTTCTGACCCTTCCCCACCACAAGGATTTTGGCAGTTCATCATCTCATCGCTTTCTGCCTGAGTAGTATTAAGGCTATTCATCAGCTCCTCATAGTCATGGGTCTTGCTAATGTCAGGAATTGTGGCTTCGTCGTTTGCGCTTGGTCGCAGGTTACAATTGGTGCCCAGGATCATAGGAGCACAAAGTGTGTTACTGAGATGTCTGAGTGCCGGGTTGCTGCTGATTGGGTTCTTCATCGAAGGAAGCAAGGAACCAGCTGTTGAAATAAGCTGAATTATAATACAAGTGAGATCAGCAGTGACAAGCTGCTGCTTTGCTTGTGCCTCGCTGGAACCACCAGCAACTTGGCTCTCACGATTACTCATAGACTGCACGATGTCTTTTACCTGCTTGATCTTCTGCTCAAGGAAGGATAAGTTGCTCAGCATTGCCTGAGGGTCCCAATCCATTGTAGGATTATTCGGGGAAGGATTTGATTCGAACTGGTTACCGATTTTAGCTTCAATGTCATCAGGTAAATACAAGCTGGAAGACTGAACCCCAAAGAGTGGAGGAAAAGCAGGGAACGATTGACCAGGTCTTGCAAAACATGGAGGCTGGTCCATGGAACTGAATCGAACACCCTGTTGGTCAGGATCAGTATTCCTTGTTGCATTACTTGCCATTGATGGCAAGGCTTTCAAGGATGTCTCTGAACTTCTTCCCAAGCCACTGTCCATTTAGATTCACCAAAGGCCAAATTCTACTTCAATATGCCCTTCTATCTCATGGAACTACAGTCCTTCCAATCAGGAGCTGATCTATAGGGCAGTCATGAAAACCTGGGATGCATGATAAAGATTGTTAGAACACCAAACTGAACGCAGCAACAACCAACAGTTCGAGACCAATCAATTAAACAGGTCGTAGTTGGAAAGAAGCCACTGCTGATTTTCTGGTTTTCTTCCATGTCGCTGACAGGATGAAATTAACCATGAATACTCCCATAAATAGATGGACATTTCTAGCCCAAAAGAGCGAGGAAAAAAAACTAAAGAAAACATATTTTTTAAGCCTATCTCTAGTAGAAAACCCAAACCTTTTTAATAAAAAAATATTTCTGGAAGCAAGCGAGAAGATAATTAATACACAGGGAGAAAAGCCTATCAACAAGTAGAACAACCAACCAACAAACCAAGCTGACTAGTCAGAACTCGGAACTAACTCTCAGCTCATCATCATCATCATCTCTCCACTAATTCAACCAGCTTGATATATGCTATTGCTAACAAAGAAGGATCGGATCTAACATGGGACATGAGGGGATTCAGTTGAATCCCCCAAACTTTTTGGGTGGAACAAAAAAAACTTTTTATTAATATATCAAGGTTAAAGCAAATCAAGAGAGAAAAAAACTTCCTCCATGTCTATGACGCAGAGAAATGACCAAAGGGCTAACGCAAACTGGGGGGAAAAAGATGAGAAAAAGAGGATCGGATGCTATACCGCGACGCGATGCGGCGGAATCAGCAGGACGAACGACGAAGCCCCGCGCCCTGCTCGCGGTCGCCGGGATGGATTGGGATCGGATCGGCGGAGGCCACGGCGACGGCGAGGGCGGCGGCGGCGGCGAGCGGAGGAGTCGACGGCGAGCGAGGGGAAATACTAGTCGAGTCACCGTGGTGGCGAACGGCGAGACGATTTCCTATTTCTTCGTGGGCAAAAACACAAATTTACGGAGGGGTCCCTGGGAATATGAGATATTGGGATCAGGCTCCTCTGACTTTTAGCAACCCCCAAGGTCATTGGCCCATGAGGCCATCAGCCATGAACGTGGAAACAGTACAAGGCAAGACATTAGTTTTGGTTGATAGTACAACATAATCTAATAAGGCTGCATGAAAAGAAAATGACAAGTCATCTTAAAAAAAAGGTACAGTATTTTATTTTACAAAGTCATGGTGTGTAAATATAATTATTATTTTATAACTGGGACATTTGGTAATATGACATTCTTAAGTTGGATACAATTTGCTATCCCAGTCCACATTTAGTGACAAAAATAGTTCAATATGTTAGTGAGAGCGAGAATTGCCTCCTTTATATGGGTGATAAATTATTTTAAAAAAAACTTACTCAGGGTATAAATAAAATCATTACTTTATTGCATGATGAATGCTGGTTGAACTACGAATATATATAATCGAAGTTGACTTAATTCTAAATTTATTTCAAGGGTTTTCTTTACCACTTTGTTTGTCTAGTTCTATTTTAATAATTTCTTAGAACACATATAAAAGTCTATCTAAAATTATTCTTTAAAATCAAACTTTAAAAGTAATCCACTTTAATTCCAAAGAAAATCACAACATATGTAAATTCCTACTCCAATTCACGACGCTCAAAGAAAAGAGTCTAACAACAAATCTATGACCCAATCAAAATTTCTACTGGAAACGCCTCCTCATATATATATATGTGCCAACGTACTTTTGTTATAAGTAGTGATATGCTAAAATTTTAGTTCATATGGCTAGGCAACTGTGATTGTTTTTCTGTGCATGCATCTACATATTTCTTGTAGTAAAAAAATAGTGTTTTGTATTTTAATTTTAAATTATCACAAATAAAGAATCACTTAGCAGAGAAAGTGGTGGCACCAAGTAACAGGGATCACTCCTGATGTGGAGCTGAAGATGCAAAAGAACCTGAAGCATACATGCAAAAAAAATATTGACAAATCCAAATGATGCATATTTTCATGGATTCACAGCCTAACTATTAATCAAATAAAGTACTGTAGCAAAGTTGATGGTCTAGTACAAATCAGAGATAAATCAAACATAATTTCAGCATATCACCTTCCCTTCTTATCTCAATTCTCACCCCTAGGCCCTATAAGCACACCAACAATCTGGAAACAATCAACCCCAAGAACACAAACACAAAACCGGCAGATCTAAAACTACCCCCAAATGATTATCGTCACACACTTCAAGATCCCCATCTAACCCAAAAACACCACCTCTAATGCCCCTCCAGATCAAACAAACACTAAAAAGAAAGGCACCATCACACCATCCTCTAACAAAAACATCAGAAAGAATCTAAAGAACCATATCCAGATTCTAAAGGAGACCAACTGGTGCAAGATTGATTCCCTCCCCCCAAAATTCTCTGCCCCCAAAATTGTTACAGTTGTTCCAGTATAGCACGGATGAAATTAACAAGATTGAGAAATTCGTTTAGTTTAAAAAAAAGAGAAATTCGTGTGAAGCGTGTAATATACTCAGTAAAAAAAAAAGATGGACTTACGCGAGTAGAATTTGAGGCTCCACAGGGCAGCAAAAATGGGACTCGGGAGGGCGGGTGGGTGGCTTTATAGGAGGAGCAGCCCTGCTGGTTCCTGGCTCCCGTTGACCTTAGGCAATTTTCCATTGGTTAAATTGGATAACGAGTTTTTCCTTTGGTTAATTGGATACTGAGTTGTGGCTCCGCTCGTTTAGCTAGCGAAAAGAGCCTCTGCTCGCGAGTCGCGTCGATTAACGACGTAACCCTCACATATTTGCTACTCTCTTTATCCTAAAAATACGAACTAAAAATATTAAATTGTATTGTATAACATAATACTATGAACTAAAAGAATTGAACTGTATTGTAATACAACTGCTTGAAGCTATGGGTGTTGGCCGCTAGGTTTGAGGTGAGACATGCGCTGTAAGATGTTATCATCCACAAATCTCAAGTTTTTCACCAAAGCCATGTTGGGATTTGCTTAAAGAAGAATGAAAATAATATAATACCATTTTGCAGGCAAAACCTCTTTTTAAAAAGCGACGAATAGTACCATCCAACGAAAACGGTGACAAACCGAGCAACTCACAAAATCGGAGTTGTATACCTTAGTCTTGGATATGAATAAGTTAGAATCGTTTTTTAACAAAATATTTAAAAATGTGAAAAAAAATATACAGTAATATTTTTATGGATAATGTGAAAAGAACGGGGTATTTCATTTTCCACGTTATACACCTATATCCCATTGGCATAGTCCCTCTCATAATGTAATCCAAAATAAGTTCATTTTTCATCTTTCACACACATACCCATACAAAACCAAAAGACTAAAATATCCTTACTTTATCATATCTTAAAGTAATTATTGCTCTCTTTACCTACTCCCAATGTATTTATCCTCTGCTATCACAAACTCCAGTGCAATGGTTGCTAATAATAAATTTATTTTGAGGGACTTAAAATGATCTTATTATGAACAAGAGAGAGTAATTAACATATCACCTCGCCACCTTGGAGTATTTATTTTCTTTAGAGACTTCGGAGCTATTTGATACATTTCCCATGTTTTGTCGTATCTTATATTAGAAAAGTTTGAATAAAATAAAAGTGTGGCATAATCCTACTTTAGTATAGTAGTTAAGGTGTAACTTATTTTTTTTACATAGCCATAACTTAGATAAATATAACATAAATAACGGTAAATTTAATATAGCATCAAATAAACCCTCTATCGCTGAGGCCGTGTTTAATTTCTCACATATTTCCAACTTTCCATCACATTATATCACATAAAAACTTTTCTACACACATAAGCTTTCAATTTTTTTTTTCAAACTCCCAACTTTCTCTAAACTTTCAACTTTTTTCAAGAATCACACCCTAAATCAAAAACTTCAATCAATCAAAAGCTGCATTTCAGCCTTTCAGGCTTCGCTAAATCGCCAGTAGGCAGCTCCAGACCTCCAGTGGCTGACCCACACAAGACAATAAAATGGCAGGTGCTGAACGGTGGGGCCAGCAAAAGAAAGTGAGGCCAATGGCCACCGCGGGCCCACCGCCTCCGTCGCTGTCTGCAGCTTTGCTCCTCTCATTCCTGGCCTTCCCGCCGTGCTACTGCCTACTGTGATGTGATGTGAGGCGTCTGGTAGATTTGGCCACTGATTGCTTTTGGATCGCTATGAATAAAACATGCCAAATTGGTGATGGATTTCGCAACGCAGAACATGCCAATTTTGTGACGGAATTAGCACACGGAACACAGATCAGACGTTTTGATTAGCGTTGATGTTTGTAAAGCAAATGGAGGTGATAATCACTGAGACTACCCACCGCCATATTGTTAGTAAAATCTCGTCGGAGACGACGAAGAAGAACGAGACCTCGCTCGGCTTACGAAGAAGACGCTAGCTGAACTGGAGAGGAGAGATTTGGTATTTTGACACTTTATAAAATGGATTTTGATTACTCTTCTCTATTAAAAACATAGTATAAATACGGTCATAACACGTGCACACTCGTTCTTATGTGAAGAGAAGAGTTTTGTTATTTTCAACCCTTCAAAATTGAGTTTTGATTACTTTTTTCTAACAAAACACCATCCAAAAAGCAAACACACACGACACACGCACACTCATTTTTATACCTTTATACACGAGTATATTCGAAAGACCAAGTCAATACGAATGTCTTATTGTCAATAGCTACATTGCCCACCATCGACCACTGAATGCAAGTACATGTGTAAGTTTAGAATTTTGTGTAAGTTTAGAATTTTGAATCGACTGGACTGGTTCTACAACTCATTCTGCTGCAAAACCAACACGGAATCGTGGAAAAGAAAGTGTTCACCATAGGAAATCTAATAAATTGAATTATACTCACTTAGCGTGTTTCGATTACTTGAAAAATCCACGTTAACTCAGATGATAATGAATAGGGCATCGAATCATTAAATTTTTCGCCAGAATAGGGGGACCAGTTTCAATTTGCTGCAACCAAAATATCGCTAATATTGGGGACTCGCAGATAGAGGCAGCGGCACCGATCATGGGCACAGCGTGAGCCACAACGGGCAACGCTCCAGAAGAACCAGAGTTGAGGTCGCGATCCTTTTGACATCATCCGTGAGATCACGCGACGAAACAAACAACACAACAAGAGGGGAGGGGAGCATTGCTGGGCCATCAGCTTCCTGCTCCTGCAGTCCAAATCACCGTGGGGACGTTTGGAACGTTTGGACACATCTGCCTCCTGGATCAGAATAATCATATCGAGTTCCGATCTAACTTGCCAAGCTCTGTCACCAACATCAGCATCATGTTAATCCTAGGGGTTGGTACGTTGGGATCAGCATTTGCTATAATATTATCGGAGTATTATTCGGAATAAAACAGGCTGCATTGCATCAGTGAGGCTGAGCCGTTGAGAATCCCCATCATGGTGATCGTAGTTGACCTTGATGTATAAGTATAACATTATCAAATCAGCACAAACCTCAGAAGCAAGCAACACGACAGCGAATCATGGAGTGAGCAATAATGTCTACCAAGTGACTTGCCTAAACACAGGTGTCAGGTGTGTAAATCTTGCCGTGCATACTGCAATGGAAGACGAACTAGTTATACCTTCTAATCTGATTGGACGGATAGCTGGGGGAGATAACATTTTATTGGGTCAAAAAAAAGACGAAGGGGAAATATTGTATGTGTCCAAAGCGAACAATAATCAAAGTAAACTAGATAAAGTAGAAAAGGATATCTCACTGCTGCAAAAACGTGCACGTAACACGAATTAACAAACGATGCAAATACCGGAGATTCCAGATCATGCAAAGAGGTTTGTTGGGACCATAGCAACAGGCTGCAGGGGATGTCAACCTCCATTCACAGTGCACCACATATCATGTCGCAATATCTAGCTCAACTGGTTCACAATATTACCCTCATCTCATATTCACCACTACTTTCTCATCCTAAAGTTGGACCATAAAGTTCATAACTCCCCACTTTCTCATCCTAAACATGGATAAACAAAATTCAGAATCCCCCACCATCCACCCATCAATGTCCAATGGGGAAAACCATGGGGACAACCTTTTGCCTCTCATGTCCTCATGATAGCAGAAACAGGACAATGCAGAAACTGTCACGCACGGTTATTGACTATTGACGTGATGAAACTGTACATATGGACTGTTAAGGACTGAAGTGAGATCGAATGGCTTTTCAAGCCTTTAAACAATTCTGAGTTTTACATGATGCAAATGAAAAAAAAAAACTGTTGGAACACAACTTATTTATCTTCTCAGCCACTTAGCTAGCAAATTATTCCTGAACTTTTTCCTAAATGCGATAAAAGCTAAGGAACCAAGGAGTGGCCATGATGTTACAAAAGCAATATAAGCAAGCAACCAGACTGACTTACCCTGGTACCGAGTGAGTTGGTTTATGGATCTCTTAACTGGAGCAATGGCCTCATGAAACTTACCAACGTAGTGTTCCTCTACTTGCTGTCCTGCAGACTGTTCAGGGCTTTGGGAAGGCATTGCATTTACTTCTGTGATATTTTTATCATCTACTTCCCTGGTGTGTTCATTCTGTTGCGTAAAATCCCCATTATCTTGTTTTATGTCATTAACCTGGTGAGAAGGGGTGATATCATCACAAGGGCCATCATCTGTCACCGGAGCTATCATTCCATCTTCCATGACGTTGACATATGGGCTCTTATCGATGGACGACTCCAAGGAAGAACGCAAAATATGGTCTTGTGCCTGCAATTCAATTATGATATGAAACAACAAAGTAACCACCATTTCAAAATGCATGTGGCTGAGATGGGATTTTTCATTCATATTATAGTAAGAAAACCTTTTGCTGATGCATGTATTTACTGTCAAGCAGAGCGAAGAGGAACTCAGAAACAGCTCCGACCCACCTACAAAATATAAAAGGCCCTGAGTTCTGAATGCCATCAATAGCAGATACACATATAAGACATAAAATAAACATGAATATTGAATAGAATAGATCTTAGACAAAACACAGGCACCATACCATAGTCTTCCAGCAGTTAGTCCTTGAAAGAATGCAAGATGACCGCCATTCGGAGTAGTAGCCAAAACAATGTTCTTGTTGGCCCTAATTCAAATGAAAAACATCTTCTACTTAATACAAAAACCAGAGTACTTTGGGAAAATGAATTTTACAAAAAAAAAAAACCTGCACTCATCCCAAGGGATGGCCTCCCTTGTGCAGAGGGGGTCATCCAAAGCATTGACACATAGCAAGGGAACTGACACATTACCAACATAACTGGCACTGCTGCAACGGCGGTAGTAGGTATCTACTGTCTGTAAAATAATTAGTCATTACATGAGTGATGATATACTGTACTTTACTCCCACCGTCCCATAAAAAACAAGCCTAGTACGGATGTGACATCCTAGTACTACGAATCTAGACAGCTAGGGTATGTCACATCCCGTAATAGGTTTGTTTTTTATGGGATAGAGGGAGTACATGACAACATTAGTCACTACAGCAGCAGTTGTCATTGTATTATTGAAGCAGTGAAATGACACGCAAGGCACAGTAACAGACAAACAAGCGTGCTCATTGATAAGGGATAGAAGAGCCAAGTGGCATGAATGCATGACAGGTACCTCATATTTTGCAACCATGCAAGTGGCATGGTGGTCAAATTCCCGGATAGAGCGTGACTGGTAATATAGAAATAAAATAAATATATGAATATCACAAGTCATGAACTTATGAAGTACAGGAGTAGACAAACAGTTGGCAGCCTGAAATCGAAGATTGTTTTTTGAAATGAAATAGACTAAAACTTATAGAAATTATACATAACGGGGCTGCTCAGATTGATGCCATTTTCAACCATACCAATTTTTTTTTGGCAAAGTTGCCAAAAAATGTCTACGTTTAGTTTGTTGCCAAATTTGGTAAATACATAAGAAATCCTACCAAAATTTTGGCAATATTGCCATCTTGCCAAAATTAATATTGCCAAAATTTTGGCATTGCCAAAATTTGGTAAGGTTTATTTTGGCTACAATCTGAACAGGCCCGTAAATATCATAAATATATAAACTGATACATCTGTCAGTTCAGTACCCAAAAAAAACACAGTTGAACAAATCAGACCTTTTTAATACCTTCCCAATTTGCAAGTCGAACCAACACAGGTTCATGCCTGTAAGGGAATAAAAAGGCAGGTAAAGATTCACACTATTTGATTACAATGTCAACTATTTCAAGTTATAATTTGGATCACTTGTTATGATAACCTGCGAGTATGTGCAGGAATACTACCATGGTGAGAATGGGTACTTACAGCTTTGCATATCCCTTAAGACCAAAGGCAAGGGCTTTGTCGTAAAACCGCTGCACAAGCTTGCGGGAAATAAATCGGTCGCCCACCTACAAAACAAGAGAGGTTAATGGACATGTTGGTGTTGCTATGTTGTGTTGTGGAAAAAAACTGTTGGAAACTAACTTATATAGTCCCATAGACAATCCATGCTAATATAGTAGAAAGAATATTTTATAATTCAAACGAAATAGTAATGTCCAGAAATTGGGAATTAGTTAATATGTCCAGAAATAGTAATGCAAGTTTCTGTAGAAAAAAAGGAAATAGTAAAGCAAGAGTTTTTTTTTTTTACTTAAACCACTGCGGGAGGCCCCTGAAATAAGGTGTTATATGTACAAAACAAAGAAAATAAATTTATGAGATCCAAAGCCAGGCAATTAAAAGCTCTCTCCTGGGGTCTAACTCGGTACAAGAGAAGGTGAAGATCATCCTTGCAAAAGCATTTTTAGAAAGTCGAGAATGACAAATGGAAACCTACATTATCACTCAGTAACACATCAAACTGTTTCATGAATTGTAAAAACCAACATGGATCTGTGAGCACAGCAGATCATCAATAATTGAGAAGGTGGCATAAGAACTGAGTTAAAAATTGGTAAAAAAAAAATCAGATAATACAATCATGAATTATATGTATCTGTATTTCAGTGAATAATGTCCAGCAACTAACCACCAGATCCCAGGGAGAACAAATAGATGCAGCACCAGCCACAGGAGTATTCTCACCTTCTTCTCCAAGATATTTGACCTGTATAAAAGATATGATTACATATATTGTCAGTTCATCAAATGCAGTATGATATTGAAATCCAATGGTATACTGCAGGCATGAGTGCATGACTTTGGTGTTGGGTCAAGGATAATGAGCAAAACAGGCACGAGGGTTGAAGCACACTAAATTAAGAAAGCCAGCATTATTTAGGCTGCGTTCGTTCCCCTGGATTGGGAACCCAACCCTCCGGCACGGAAAACGGAGCGGTCCATTAGTGCGTGATCAATTAAGTATTTGCTATATTTTTTTTTCAAAAATGGATCAATATGATTTTTTTAAGCAACTTTCGTATAGAAACTTTTTACAAAAAACGCACCGTTTAGCAGTTTGAAAAGCGTACGCGCGGAAAACGAAGGAGAGGGGTTGGTAACCCTGACTATAGAACACAGCCTTAATGATGAATCTAACCACGATTGTCAAAAGAATGAAGATCAAAAATAGATTAGAAATTGAGAATGAGCTACCATGTCAGCATCCACAAGCCAAAACCAAACCGATATTACCAACTTATGTGGTTAATAGCAAGCTCAAAGAGAATAAAGAAAGAGACGATGAACCAAGCAGGTCAACAAATGGGTGCAGGTAAAAATGCATGGTTGATCAACTAATTACAATTTACAAAGCTTCAGCAAATTGATGCTTAAGAATCTTCAGATATTTGCAAACAACAGATTTGAACCAAAAGGAGCATACTTGAAAAAAAAAGTGTATATGCAGCAAGGAAAGATGTTAGATGGATTCAGCCCCTTCCTCACTAGCCAGTTCATTCTGGTTAATGGTTATTGGTGAATTATAAACTTGACATGGTTGGAAACTGAATCAAACTTGTAAATTTTAAGTTTGTCCTAGTACATGACTACACTGAGCGAGAAACCACTGACGTCTCTTCATCAGGAAACAATGGCATGAGAAGCATTTCAGTCTCATTGGTGTAGGTAGCTAAGTGGATAAACTTCTGAATGATCAATGGCAAAAAGAATGAACTGTCGTAAACTCATAACTATCACATCTTGAATACGCAGAACATAATAAGTTTCAGATTATGACGAGGTAAAATTATGTACCACAATGTTGGCCCCTATGCTTGTACCAACACAGAGCATTGGAGCCTTTGGATATTTGTGATGGAGATAATTAATGACTTCTCGGAGATCTTCTGTCCATCCAGCATTGTAGAGGCAATCTGACTGCCAAGGGAAATAAATATTATGAGGTGAGTGATGGTTCTTATTCCTAAATAAGACATTTGTTAAAATTCGGTGCCTCATAAACTTCTTGCTGCAGTATCGACAGAGAAATTATAACATGCTACAAATTTTAGAGGGATCAAGTGTATAAGGAAAGTATAAACTGCAGAGGGAGTAAAAAAATCAATACGTCAGTTAACTTACAGTAATGGACACACCACCAAGACCCCTGTGATTGCTTACAACAGTGTTACACCCCTTCGTTGCCATGGAATAAGCCATGTGTTTTACATACTGCAGATAGCAGCATCATCAGAATTACCAACAGATCTATATACCAATAGGTTATGCAACAATAAATCCAAGAGCTCTTTAAAATGTGTGAAAATATCATCAGAAATAAGTTAGTGACTAACAGCAGCAGCAGAATCACTAGTTAATCCAGGTACAATAACTACAAGTGGTGCTGAAGCATCCTCAGAAAGGATCCCATCTGAACCTGCCATGTAGTAAATAAGTTAGATCTCACAGTGTATGACATAGAATTTAACATACTATATGTGCCTGATACCCTTTGAATCAGTGGCAAGCAGCCAGTCCAAAGCAATGGTCCCACCATCATGTACTGTGTACAATTGCCTATTATCAATGCACAAATTGCCTGATAAGTATTGAATTAAATTCTGAACAAATTCAATAGATTAATTGCTAGAAATGTAGCTAGAAACGGAGGTATGTGCATGCCCAAAAATCATTTCAGAGCTTGCACAACATGGTTGAAACATTTAATTTCATCCTGAATCACACTCCCAGTTTCCAAATGGCCACATCACTGCTTTTAGTAACACAGCAGAGATTGAATAACAAAGCAGCATACACTCTGCTTTTATTTAATTTTAACGAAAGAGCAGGAGCTCTGCCTATTGTATGAAAGGGGGATAAAAGGAAAATTCGCGCAAATTATGCTAGAAAATCTTGTAGGCAATGTCTTGTGGCTGAAGTCTCTGGTACTGAAAAATCAGCCTATTCTGCTCCTTCCAAATTACCCAACTTGTGTAAATCACAAGGTCATTTACCTGCACCTCCACTCCTTTTGCAAGCATGAGCAATCTTGATGCCACAAATCCTCTAGAATGTCAAAGTATCGACGTTTGGCTGTCGTCATGATGGTGCATTTTGCCCATATAGGACTGTTTTCCAGATTTCATGGGCGTATGGGCAGAGAAGCAACAGGTGCATGTTTGTTTCACTGTTTTGTTGGTGCGAAGGTGACAAATCCTTAATGTTTTGATTGTGGACAGGCACATCATCCTCATTCAGAGCTTCAGTCTTCTTGGCTATACCTGTAACCTCTGGATGTTGGAGCTCAATTTGCATTCTGAGGAAGTGTCATACTAGATCATCGTAGTGACAGTCACACTGGTGTGGGGTTTCTGGCTGCCTATTCATTCATGAGTGCTGCAGACCTGCAGTTAAGCCAAAGGAGAAAGGCTATGACCCTGCATCCCGTCTTCCTCATGTATATTTCAGTTAATTTTCTCATCATTGCCATAGACTACTGGTGGGCTGAACTTTGTAGTAAAATCTGAACATATGATATTCTCATCGAACCATCAAAAAACATATAGGTTTGGACAGACAATGCGCCCTTATGAAATATTCTCAGGTTTTGTGTATCTTTGGTCTTCGAAAGAGGCATGTATCAGGTAGCAACATTAGTGAAAACCTATACGCGTTGTTAAGGGCTTCTCGTACGTTGATACTCTTTTTCTATGGTCTACAGTGCTTGGATGGTACGATAGGTACCTTCACTCTAGCAAAGGCCAATTCTAGAATTCTTTCTATATTTTTTTAGCAAGAAGGGCATTGCCATGTTAATAATGCTATAAATGTTTTACACATGTTTGGAAGGTAGTTGAAGTACACCCACACTAAAGTGACCAAACGTTGACATTTCTCTTAAGTGGAGGTACATGAATCTAGTGCAGCATAATACGTTCTTGTGCATACCGAATTTACCGAATTGAATTATATGTGAAAACATTAAACTCAAATACACCAATCTACAATAAGTCTAGAATGCAACTCAGCTTCACGTGAATCGAGTCTGACCTTTTGTATGTGAACGAAGGTGGCCTCCCGGAGATACCCAGGAACAGTGTCTGCAAATGTGGGCTGGCGAGCCAAGGCGTCGCCAGATACCTGCATCACGACACCACAAATCCGTCATTAACATCCAAATATGCGCAACGAAAGTAACCGCTCCCATTATTCAGGAGCCCGAGCAAGCAATGCTGCTGCTTCCACCCACAAAATTGCAGACGGTGTGAGTACGAATTATCATCACACGATCCGATCGAGACATGAGAAGGCCACACAAACCTGCCGTGGAGGGAGCGGCACTTGGAGGCTACGCGGTGGTAGATCTCGGAGGCCGGGTGGAAGGTGAGCTCGACGCGGCCGCCGCGGAACCCGCGGAGGAGGTCCCCGAGGAAGTGCAGCTCCAGGAACCCGTACGCGAGGACCGACACCACGGCGAGCGCCGCGAGCGCGTAGTGCTCCGCTGGCACCATCGCCGCCGCGCGGAGCAGCAGCTCCCCGACCGACTCCCCTCCGCCTCCGCCTCCGCCGCCGGCGACCGCCTCCATGGGGGAGGAAAACCCCGTCGAGGCCGCGACCCCGCGCGCTCTCTAGGCCTCGGGTGCGGCCGCGGCGCCGACGAGCCGACGGGAAGAGGCGGCGCGTCGCGCGCGGAGACCGGAGGCGAGGACGACGAAGCAATTCGAGCGGCAGTTTCGAGGAGAGGGCGATTCACGGACGTTGTGGGATGCGGACTGGTTGGTTTCTGTCGTCGTAAAAAAGCCAAGGCGAGAACCCGACGGTGTGGGGCCGGGATGTCAGCGAGAGGGTAAGGTGGTGGTAGGTGAGACGTGGCCGCGCAGGAGACGTCGGCCTTTGTCGGGGCCGTGAGCAAAGCGAGCGAGGCTGACGCGTGGGCCCTGAAGTCGCGGGGGACAACGGAGCTACCAATGTTAGCGGTTCAACGACCGGCCTCATATTGATGTCATCTTCTTTTGTTTCATTTGTTTCACTTTCATTTGGTACGTGGTAGCAGTAGTAAATTATATAGTACTCCCTTAGACCTTAGTCATAAAATATACTATTATACTTACAATACAGGTTAGAAAAAACATTTTAGTGGCCACTAGCCCACTAGTCAATTACTGTATACGAGAAAAATACGATTGGAGCACGTTAGATAGAAAATGGAGTCGATCTACATTTTTTTTCTCTTTCCCATGTTATTGACTGAATCTCATTAGTCATGGTGTGGTGTACGAATATATCAGATCAAATACAGTTAGAAGGGGAAAATATTTGAAACAAATAAGAGTTCAAATCTAATGTCTGCAATCCGGAAAAAAAATTAAAGAAGATTCTATATCGAACAGTACAGTTTAAAAACTGACTAAATTAATTCAAAATCAGAAATAAGTCACGATCTCGTCATACATAATTCACGTGTATTATCAGCTAATCACGCAACTACGCGAGTTTCAGCTGGCTTCATACCTTCATGATTTCATCAATGGTCTTTATCTAAAAAAAATGATATCATCAATGTTGTAAGGTTCAGTAAAGAAATAATGACATGATTTATCGTACAATTAAATTGCGTGTACTAATCATACACCCTTATTTTGTCAAAACTTGCCGAAGCAAACATGGGGTGCAGTTTGTCTTTGCATTCAAACACCTAAATCAAGGAGTATGAACCTTTCTGGATCTTCTTACAAAACAAAAGCAACGTCTGAAAATATATTTTCCTTGACTCTGAGAATTTTTTTATATAAAAAAAACACTTCAAAGGCCCAGTTTTACAACGACAAAGTCGAAAGGCCCAGTTATGATACTGGGCTTTGTCACCTCTACATCTTAGCGGGCCAAGCCCAGGCTCCCCTCACTTCGACGGTAATAAATCGGAGAACTGCAAATAATTCGATTCATCGGCAAGGAGTTGAAGTGATCTCGGAATCGGCGGGACGCCGATCTCCACGAGCCCTTCGAGCACCTGCACCACCGTCGCCATGGCCGGCCTCGCGTTCTCGTCGTCCTGGATGCACCAGAACGCCACCCTGCATGCTCTCTCCGCCTCGCCCATGTCGGCGTCGCCGCCGAGCCGGCCGTCCACCACGGCGCTGACCAGCTCCTCCCGGCGGCCGTCGCCGACGCCGCCGACGAGCCTGCTCGCCGCCAGCAACGGGAGAATGTCCGCGGTGCCGTCCTCCCTCCGCTCCACGTTCCTCCTCCCCGACACGATCTCGAGCAGCGTCATGCCGTAGCTGAACACGTCCGCCTTCGCCGTCACAGCCGTGCCGGCGAGCCACTCCGGCTCGATGTACCCCACCGTGCCCCTCGCCGTGGTCAGCACGCGGCTGATGTCGCGGCCCATGAGCTTGGCGAGGCCGAAGTCGGCGACCTTGGGAGCAAACGAGCCATCCAGCAGTATGTTCTCTGGCTTGATGTCGCAGTGTATGATGCAATCCCTGCATTTCTCGTGGAGATAGTCTAATCCCCTTGCGATTCCAAGAGCAATCTGGTACCTCGTGTCCCAGCTCAGGACATGTTTTCTGCCGTCAAAAAGTTGCTTGTCCAGTGAACCATTTGGCATGTACTCGTAGACGAGTAGTCGTCGCGATTTCTCCGAACAAAACCCGAGCAATCGAATCAGGTTGACGTGTTGGATGTTGCCGATTGTGCTCACCTCTGCGCGAAACTGCTTCTCGCCCTGATGAAAACCTTCGAGCTTCTTCACGGCCACCATGGTCGCATCAGGCAACGACCCTTTGAACACTGAACCGAATGCACCTCCCCCGAGTTTTTCAGAGAAATTTTTTGTCATAGATTTCAGGTCACGGTATGTGAATGATATCAAGGAACCTTCCACTTGTGTCGTTCCCTTTACCATTCTTCTTCTCAAGATGACAACCAAGGCAGCTACCATGAGTGCTGCAACAATAGTAGCAACAATGGCAATAGTGATCAACTTCTTGGCATGCTTCTGCTTCTGGCTAGACAATTCTGAAGCAGCCAAGCGAATCAAAACAGCGTTGCTTCCTTGGCTACCGATGGCAGACACATCCTGCAGGTTGATGAGGTCTCCATGCCACAGTGAGCAGCTGCCGTTGTAGGAGTAAGCAGTGCAAGAACAACTTCTTAGGCATGCTTGCTCACACTGATCAGTACTTGTGGCCACCACACTCTCTGCATCGCTTGGTAATCTTACATTGCCCATCGTGTAGAACCGATCAGTACTCCTTCCTACCACCGAGCCATTGCTGCTGCACTGCAGCTCCACGTTTCTTCTGCACCCTGAAGTGTGATCTCCCTGCAACCATTCGCCAACGTTTTGCTCACCGAAGCCACGGAGGCAGCTACAAGGTGCCATTGCATTCTCGGTGCAGACACTGAACGGCCCACACAACGAGTACACGTCGCACTGCGCTTTGGGCTGCGACCAGAACAGCATCCAGTCGTTGGCGCCGTTCATCCATGTCAAGAACTGGATCTGCCCCATCTCGCCCAAGACGAACCTCGTGAGGACCGAGTCGTCCTTGAGATCGTACACGAAGTAGCTCCCGTTCTCGCCATTGACGTAGTCGAAGGTGTACAGCGAGTTCGGGTAGATGCCGGTCGGCGTCATCTCCGGCACGCCGGTGAAGATGCGGCCGGTCCAGTTGCCGCTTGTCCACTACTGCTGTGTACTGTTCCATTCGAGCAGGTATTGGCTCGTGCCGTTCGGGTCCAGCTCGAGGGAGAACACGCCGGGGGCTGGGTCATTGCGTGCCTTCCATGCGACCAGACCAGTGCTCACGCCGGCGAGCTTGTTCCGGCCGAGCTTGCCGCCGGGGAGCCAGGTATTGCCGAAATGGTCGAAGCTCTGCCAGTGGATGATGGAGGTGTTCGATGCGTCTGCTAGGACAAGGTTACCGGTGTCGAGGATAACACCGACAGTTGAGTTGGAGGCGATCTTGGAGATGTTCGTGGACCAAATTGCAGTTCTTGAATTGTCGAGTAATACCATGTTGCCGTCGGTTGCTATGGTTAGCTGTGAGGTATCCGGATTCGAGATTGGAGAGCCCCTGTTTGCAACCCAGACCGGCGTGTGCTTGGAGATTTGGTTGTACCAGATGCCAATGTACCAATGTATTGAGTTCTCTGTTGCACATAAAAAATAGTTCGAGAAAGAAAGCTTATTATGCGGTGTTCCTTAATACTAGTTGGGAACCTTCCCTTCCAACATGGAAAATGGAGAAACACATTAGCACATGAGTAATTAACTATTAGCTAAAACTAACTTGAAAAATAGATTAATATGATTTTTAAAACAATTTTCTTATAAAATTTTTTATTTATAAACGTGCGCGTGAAAAATAGGAGATGAGAGAGTTGGGAACCTATACAAAGGAACACAACCTTAGTTGTCAAAGTCAACATTAACAATTAGTTAAAACCGAAGAATGTAGAAGTAATAATAGTAGAAACCAAAAGTTATCTTTACTATATTAAGACATAATCGTCCTCCTCTCTCCCCTACCGTGTGCAGCACCCTTAAAAAACCAAACCGGCCCACCTCTCTCACCCCGTATTACTCCAGATCCGTTGCAATGCACGAGCATAGTATTATTTCAGAAAAGTAACGACTGTCGGCTGACATGCGTGCATTCATCAGCATCGCTAGAAAATTACAATGCCATGTGGATCGATCCAATACCGGCGGAAGTGGCATGTTTTAGATTAGGACTCCCTCTATTTTTTTTTTAAAGATGATGCTATTGACTTTTAAACATATGTATGGTCATTCGTCTTATTAAAAAAATTTATACAAATATATAAGATATAAATCACGCTTAAAGTAATGGGCTAATTGGATCGATGCCACTGCAAATGTGGCAAATCAGAAAAATGCCACTAATATTCATGAAATCGGGTAAGATGCTATTGTAATCTTCTAAAATTAAAATCATGCCACTCCATCATGATTTCTGTCAGGGTTATAGATACCACATACCTAATAGTAGTTGACTAAATCTCGGCAGGACCCACCATATACCATGTCTTATACGGAAACAACCGAGGAGTTCCGCATAAGGAAGGATGAATAGAGTTCTACATGGAAACGACAAGGACTACTCGGATTGTATCCATATGGGTTTCCCTAGTTCTACTTGGACAAGGTGATACCTATGTGTATAAATACAATGCCCCCTAGGAGGAGAGAGGACACGGAACAACAGATCAAGACACAAGATCAACATACAAGCCAACATACGCCAAGACAATAGGCCAGATATCGACTTCAGAGATAGGCATGGCTAGTCCCCTAGGACCCCTACGGTACCTATGGGCTATGGCTACCGTCAGGAGAGACATAGCGCTGTCTCTTATCTCGCCG